TGTTTACCATTTTTTTTTTTAACAATTTCGCAAAAGATCATGATCGCGCCATGTTTGTTACATAGAAATCCGCCCCCGGGCCCCGGCACCTACCGATCAAACCGGATTTATTACAATTCATTTCAACAAAAACTACTACGATCGACGCGTGTACAGGCCGCTTATTCATTACCAATTACGTCACAGCGCGGCACGGCAGCATTTTTATAGGTATTCGACGCATTGACTGACGGTCATTCACTCTAAGAGTACATGTTTATAGAATTCTGCATGTGGATACATTGTAATACCTAACTACTTAGTGCACAGTTATTGGTTATATTTACTGAAATAACCTCCGTGGCGATTGGCAAATTTCGTAAATATATAAATAATAAAAGAGGGAGGTATTAAGTAAGAATATTTTTTTCTTATACCACTATGGTAAATGGCTACCGTAGCCTATAAACGCCTGCATTATCAGGGGCATTACGCATGCGTTGACGACCTTAAAAAATCCTGTTTACCTTCGTATCTTTTGGGGATTGTTAATAATGCGAACTACCAGCCCCATTTGCTGCCAGGTCGACATCCCCGCGGTCCTCACTGGAAATCATCGTGCTGAATTCCAAGTGTATTCATCACGATGGGCTAACTAATCTACCCTTTCATTTCACCTATCAACCCTCACTGGTGCCCCGCCAGCGTATCCCGTTAGCGCAGGCGGGGTTACCATTCCATTATCATCCATTAAAAACAACAGCTTTAACCCTTTTTGAGAGGGGAAAGGGATTGTTAGTAATGGAGATTGAGAATGCCATTGCTAGCAATATACCCAACCAGGTCGACCGCCTCGCGGTTCCCCCTGGAAACTATCATGGTTAATTCCTGATGAATTCATCATGATGGGCTAACTGGCCTGTTTTCATTCTCATCTATCACCCTTCACTGGTGCTCCGCCAGCGTATCCCGTTAGCGCAGGCGGGGTTACCATGCCATTTTCACCCATCAAAAAAAAGAATGTCAACATTCGTATCACAGTTCCATGCTGTCGTTTTTCATTTGTCACCTTTCCTGAACAAAACTTCGGTCCGGAAGGAAAGGGATTATTAGTAATGGGGTGTAATGGCCCCGTTGCTAGCAATAGGGCAAGCTAGCAAGGCTAGCAATCCTATTGGGTCGACCTCCAAGCGGTTCCCCCTGGAAACCATTGTAATCGAATCTTATTGAATTCATCATAATGGGCTAACTAACCTGGTTTCATCCTAACCACCATCTCTAACTGACGCCCTGCCGGCGATTACCGACAGCGCAGGCAGGGTTACCATTCCATTTTCACCTATAAAAAAAGCCCCGATTCATACATAAAACGAACTGTATCATCATGTAATTTTTCCTCCAATACTAAAGGAAATTTGCAGGTCATATGTATTTCTTTTAACAACTTAGAGCGTTAAACTGCCCCGCCAGTACAGCCTGTAAATATACTAATAGCGCAAGCACATTTACCATTCCATTTTGACCTGTCAAAAATCCTCATGTATTGCCATTTTTGAGCATTATAATCTTACGCCTTTGCCTTTCTACATTAAAACAATACAGGTGGTCTACCATGAAATGAAATTCCGAATTTTCGGGCTCAATTTCGTGTTTTTGTTCGTACCGAAATCGACCCTGTAAATGGAGATTAACATTTCGTTTATCATAAATCCTATCCTAATAGTCCAAAGGAACGATATTTTAACATTTTTAATAATTTTAAAAGACATGTATTATGTAATTTTAACATCAAATTTCTGTTTCATTCGTCCCCGAAATTTCGAAAATCATTTCATGGTAGGCTTACAGAACTAATTTTAAACTTTCCCGTTGTTTACACATATTTGAAATACTACGCGATCAAAATTTTTTGCACGTAAAAAGCACTAATAGAATTATTGATCGCGTTAAAACCCAATACTGTATTTAAAATACCTAACTAGATTCCAAAAATTTCAAATTTTATCGACCAGTTTATATTGAATTAAAATCTATTTTAAAAAAATCTGGTACTAAGGTAAACAAACCTATTTCTGTTAAAACTACCACACACACAGTTTAGTTTCTACTTGTCTAAATCATTTACATCACCATTTTTTGCAATTATTTATCAGATTAAATAATAATTAATAAATATAATAATAATATATTACTATTTTATTATTATAATAGTTTGTTTGGGTACCTCTGTCCCATTCATGTTTCAACCTTAAAGCAGTTGTGTTTGCATGGCTGTGTTTCGGTTTGAAGGGTGGGATATAGTGTGAATTCACAGGGTACAGAGGAATAATACCTGAGTCCTCAGGAATGGCAATGCATGGGGAGTATCATGGACGAAATGGTGTACTCTGTTATGTCTATGGTAGTGCTCATGTATGACGGTTACCACTTTCCATCAGGTGGGCCGTCAGCTTGTTTGTAAGTTGTGTATATATGTATATATATATATATATATGTGTGTGTATATATATATATATATATATATATGATTATATTAATTAGAGTTACTCATATTTATCTTATTTTAATAATATCATAAATTATACCATCATCATCATTACATCAGCCTTTAACTGTCCACTGCTGAACATAAGCCTCCCGCTTGGGGGTTTTGCCAGTAGTTGCTATGCTTGGCAGGCAGATTCGTGACCACAGATAGGCTTTAGAGATGTTTCAAGAGGGACGCTGCTGCATGGGAGATATTTAAGAAAAATTAATATGTACTCTTCTTAATAAGAGCATTAGAAGATAAGACAATAATTTTTAAAAATTTAGTATGCCTGTCTGTCTGTCTGTATGCTGTTCTGGCATGATGCAAAAAATATTACAGAGAATTGAATGTGGTTTTCCCAGTTGTATTTCTAAAGACTGGTGCATGTTTCTTTTTTATTTAATTTTTAATGGGTGAAAATTGAATGGTAACCCTGCCTGCGCTAACGGGATACGCTGGCGGAGCACCAGTGAAGGGTGATAGATTAGATAGAAAACAGGCCAGTTAGCCCATCATGATGAATTCATCAAGAATTAACCATTATAGTTTTCAGGGGAAACCACGAGGAGGTCGACCTGGTTGGATGTATTGCTAGCAATGGGATTCTTAGTCTCCATTACTAACAATCGCTTTTCCCCCCACTGGTGTATGTTTCATCTTAATACTTCAACTAAAGATTCCCTATTTCTAAAATCCATATGTAGCAGGAAAAATGCTGGTGGTAAATAAAATACTTTAAATAATACATTCACTCTAGATCATTGGTTAAAAAACCTACAATAGTGTTGCCATATCTCTTTGTATTGTATGAAAAATATCTTTCAGTTCATTTAATTGAAATTTTAATAGATATGAAAAGGAGAGTACTTTTTAATGGGAAATGAAATGGTAACCTTCATGCACTATCTGTATCTGCTGATGGTATACAAGTGAGTGATGGTAGACAATAAAATCACCAGGAATTTAGATACTATCTAGGAGGGCCACACTGAGCAAACGCGAGACAGCAATTTTTTAATAGACAAGTAATTACATAAAAAAATATATATATCTTTTAGTGGTTTATGGTCTTCATTAGTTATATTATTTTAGAAATTTTTTATAAAATTATTCATAGTTTCAAAAACTAATTAGTAAATCAAATTTATTTTTCAATAATCTTTTGTAACAGTCTTGTAAAACTTATTATAAAATTTAAGATAGTCTTTTATAAATAACAGTTACATATTTGAAATAAGACTTCATTAAAACAAAATTTGGTTTGTTTTAATGAAGTCTTATTTAAAAAATCTAATGCCCAAAAAGATTATAGTGTTATGTGTACAAATAAAATTATTAATATTATTACACAACACTAGATGCCCGATAATGATGTTTATGCTAACCCTTACAAATATTATAAATATAAAAGTTTGTTTGTTTGTTTGTCACCTCGTAACACCTTAACAGTTTTATCACTTTGAAATTGTGTATACACATAATTTATGAGATGGAGAAGGATATAGGCAGGTAAAAGCTACTAATATATTAATAAAAATCATATTATTTATTTACCCCTGCACATTGAAACAGAATATAGTCTATAGAAATTGTCTATAAACCCATAGACAAAAATTGAACACACTTGGAGAAAGACATTGCTAATAATAGACTACTAACTCCATAGCCTGCAATATATAACCTCCACATGGTCCTATCTGAAAACCATTGTAGTTAATTCCTGGTGAACTCATCACAATGACCTGATCTATAGTCATTGACTGGTACCTCTCTAGCATAAACTAAAAGCATGACCACAGTTGACATTGACAGTCAAAATAAATTTATTTCATTTCAATTTAGTCCATTTTTATAAATAAAAAAAAAATATATATGTAATTTTTTTTTTTATCCAGAATGTAATGTAAAACACAAATATACAAAGCCATACAGCATCTCTTATATCTTGATGTGTATTTAACAAATTCAAATTATCATAATCTTTATTATTTTTGCTGTTTGCAACAATAAGCTTTTAATACACTGAATTAGCAAATAAATATTTGAAATAATTTATGGATTCTTTCTTAATAAATCTATTTAATTAAATAAAATAAGTGTTGATAAGAAAAGAATTAGCTATCCAAATGTTAAACATTGGCAAACTTATTTAAGTTTAGACATCAACTCAACTTCTTAAAATGATTGTACAATTTCCTGAACAAAATGCAAATAAATAATAATAATGTTTCATATAAATTAAATTAATCCAGTTAATACCAAAAACTTTGTTGTAATTTCCTTATAACGTAAAATTTTTAATTTATATGTCAGGAAAAAGCTAAGTGCATCATGATATTTCCCAAAAAAAAATATATGACATCAATTCACTATAAGCTATTTATTGTTGGAACAAAAGAAAAAACAACGACCATTTCCTGACGATCATAATTAAAAAAAAACTTATTGGAATCTTTTAGGCAAAGGAAACAAAAAGTGGCCGTCCTGGTTAATGACCACAAAAAGCATACGTAAAAAGTAATTAGGATCGATCGTGCAGTGATAACATGCAAAATAACTGCTAAAAATGCTAATAGGACTCACCATAACGTGTACAAGCTGATGTGAGTTCCAGGGCTGCGTTCACGGATATCGAAGACTGCCGAGATTCTTGGTGTACGTTGAGGCAGCGTGAGGAGCCGCCAGCGTAATAATCACCTCACATCACCTGTTGGCGGTTTCGCAAATTATTTTGTTTACAGCCAATAGACGGCGATACTTAAAAGCGAATCAATTGATATTGAAAGAACACGAAACAACGACAAGCATTGACATGACTGACTGACAAAGTGATGAATTTTAGAAACGCAGTGTGTTCAACGAATTGGCAGATGACGTTGACAGATACGTTCCGTTCCATCAATGTTCATAAATTGTTATTATTTACAGTAAAAATTTTTCCAACCAACCAAGTTTAATTTATACGTATTTAGTAAAAATGTATTAATTATGATTATAATTTATTTATCTAGTTAAATAAATTACGTTTTAAGAAGTAACATTGACGAATTTAGTAGTTTAGCAGCTTAATACACGACTTTACCTCCTAATAGTCGCAAGTTCTATCTCCGCTCAATATGTACATTGGTCTCTATGAATATATCTGTGTATTTGATGTTTCTTATATATAATATTTACGTATTTACATAAAAAAAATATTTATGGTTTAGTATAAATATATATATATATATATATATATATATATATATATATATATATATATATATATATATATATGTCTATCAGTTGTCCGGTTGTATAGAAAAATTCTATTCTTAGTTTGAGACTAGAAATAATTCGGAGGTGTTCTAAATCTATACAATTATGTATCTTAATACATTTGATAATAAATAGAATTACATGATTATGTTTGTCTATTTCCAATGTATTATAATTATAAACATAAATTGAAAGTTGCAAGAATGATAATATAAGTGTTAATAATTGGTGTGTGTTTTAATAATACTTATACAAGTATTACATTATTTATATTATGCAGAAATTATTGAAAGAAAAAGGGTGTGGTAAGTTGTTATACCAACACAGTTGTCAAAGATCTGGATACAAACACATACCACATACACGTTCCCTTTCATTCTTTTGCATTCGGACAAAAAAGCATGAAAAAAATTGATTATCAGAACAACCTATTGTTTAATTTGAAAATCGAACCTTTCTCATTACAATCAAGCATTTAAACCAGAACAAGTGGTTCCTACTCTAATAGAATCAGGAGCCTGTTCCATCTTTAAAATCATTATCGCCCGATAAACGTGTCGTTAACCAATGCAGGGTTACAGGCCAGAAAATTGTATTAGGGCGAAACGCACACGCGCTGGTGAACACTGATTGGAAACAGAATGGCATTTGTTATCGCCCCGAGACAGATGCGGCTGCGCTGTGCTATCCTATAAACTGCTTAGTTCATTTTCCCAGACGTTCCGCGTGCGTGAACTGTTCCACAGTGTTTAAATCGGGATATGTGAGAATGAAGGAAGGTGAAGCGTCAACTAACGGGGCTCTGGCCTTCGCTTTGATCTATTTCACGTTCTTTCTGGATAATGTGCTGCTTACAGTTGTAGGTAAGTGCTGTTCATGCTTGATCCCTTACAAATCAGCCACGGAGCATCAATTAAAGTGATAACTATCTTGAACATCTCTTTACTTAATTTTCATATTCGTCTCATGGTTTCATGGTTCCGGAGACGTCTCTTTCAGATAGAACATGATGTATTTTTACCTAATGATGGTTGATCAGTTTGAGTTTTCCTCGGTATTTATTTACAAGTGCAAGTTATTGCTTCTGGGTGTTCTTGCTGGACAATGGTTAACTGGTCACAGGAGTGCCGTGTGTTTACCTCTGGTGATTTATTATAAAATTTGAAATGGCTAAACGAGCTGATGGCTCACCTGATGGAAAGTAGTCATTGTTGCTTATAGTCATGAATAGCACTATAGATCCCACAGAATACAGCGTGACAGCTGAGCCTGCGATCGTACTCCCATAAAGCCCCTGTCTATCGAAGAGGGAAGAAATGGATTACTAAAACAATGGTAATCATTATGATGTTATGACTGCTACTTTTTTTATGGTTGGTAATGGAATGGTACTCCCGCCCGCACTATCGGTATACGCTGGCACCAGTGATCTGCTTTCATCCTGTCACTGGTGCCAGATGAAAGGTGAGAATTAAAGCAGCCCATCGTGACGAATTCTACAATAATTAAGCATGATGATTTCCAGTAGGAAACGCGTAGAGGTCAACCTGACAGGGTATATTGCTAGCAATGGAGCTGTTCGACTCCATTACTAACAATCCCTTCCTCCCAATGACTGTTACTATAATATTATTTTACAGCAGGGCACGTATCATTTGTTGCAGTTCCTATAATACCGGACTGGGTGCGCGGTGAGTCGTTGGAGCTGTGGACAACACACGACGCGCCTCTTGCTGTACTGCTGAACAGTACCGTACATAACATCAATACAGAAGATACTCAAGGTAGGTATGGTAAGACTTGTGATCAGTGGCGACCACAGCTTTACCTACATTTTTGAATATACCTAGTTATTTTTCTAGAAAAAAAAATTACTTTTTGACATAAAGACAGATCTTTTTTACACTTTTTAGGTAAGTTGTATAAGAGGAACATAGTTATGTATTAAGACCTAGGCAAAATCAGAAAGAACTTGCTGTATGGTATAGAATCTACTAGCTCTTTCTTCCTTTCCCATGGGTGTCATTGGAAGCTACTGAGAAGCTACTGCAATTTATTAGTCGAGGGATGGGCAGATCAGTATGCTTCTTAAAATATCACTAAAAACAACTGCCAACTCAAAGCCAAACGTGACAACTATTGGTAAAATCCCCTCAATGGTAAACAGCCATAAGGAGGGGTTTCTTATGACAGTCTTAGAAGACCTATGTTTAGCAGTGGACAGAAAACCACTGATATGGTGATGAAGACGGTACATTTTACGGGATTGTATCAGTATTTCTGAATTAGTTATAACAATTCCTTTCTAGTTTATGGAATTTACCCCTATGTTGATCTCCTATTAATTTTATGAGGACTATAGCTGATATTTTTCTAAGAAAAAACTCCTTGATATGAAACATAAGCAAAAAGCCTTTTTTTTTTATATCACCGAGGTGGCAAACAAGCATTCGGCGTACCTGATGGTAAGCAGTTACCATAGCCTATCAAAACCTGCAATATCGAGGTCATTACATGCTCTTTGCCGACCTTGAAGAAAGCTATGTACCTCTTTTGAAGAACCACATGTTGTAGTCTCTTGTAAAAACAAATTTTAATTACACTCCTCGCAAAAATTAAGGGAACATAAAATTTTTTGAAATTTTTGGGTGATTTTCAACAGGCTGTATTTCAGTGAAAAATAATCGTACAGGAAATTTAAAAAAAGAGTTTTGAAGCTTGAAAACTCTAGTTTTCAGATTTTTTGGTGAAAAAATTTTTTGAGCTCCGGTTTCTATGCAATTCTTAAACAAAGCTGAAAATAATTTTTTTCAAAATTTTCTAGGTTTTGTTTTTCACTCTATGGGCATGGAAAAATTTTTTCGAGCTACTCCATTGTATAGGTCTCTTAGCGTGTTTATTCAGCTTCAAAAATCGCTTTGGATGGCTTAATTACGACCATTTGTCTCCGAGATATCGAACTTTGAATGCAAAAGCATCCTTTTCCATTCAACTGCTAATATCTCTGGAACTACTGGTCGCACAGCAAGCGGGCGCCGAGTTTCTTTATCTGCATAAAATCTCCAATTAAGCACAGTCAAGAGTTAGTGAAGAAAAAATTTTTTTCCACCTCTAACATTGAATTGAAAAAAGTGGAAAAAAGTGACTTTTTCTCCTTTTTTGGTTACTTGGCTGTATCTTCGCTAATATGGGCGGGAAAGCTAAGGTTTGAGGAAAATTTTACAGTCTATTGTTCCTTAAAGAACCCCATAAATCCCTGGAGCGATCGGTTCAACGGTTTTTCCCGGACCAATTGATTGAAATTTTGGAAAAAATAAGGGAACAAGGTTTTTGTCCCTTAAACTCACCCTAATCCATTCAAAAATCAATAATTTCATTTGTTTTTCACTTTTTACTCAATTTTTTGTTTTTTAAAAATTCATTATCAAAAAAAAAAAAATGGAAAAAAAAATCAAGAAAATTTTATGCAGATAAAGAAACTCGGCGCCCGCTTGCTGTGCGACCAGTAGTTCCAGAGATATTAGCAGTTGAATGGAAAAGGATGCTTTTGCATTCAAAGTTCGATATCTCGGAGACAAATGGTCGTAATTGAGCCATCCAAAGCGATTTTTGAAGCTGAATAAACACGCTAAGAGACCTATACAATGGAGTAGCTCGAAAAAAATTTTCCATGCCCATAGAGTGAAAAACAAAACCTAGAAAATTTAGAAAAAAATTATTTTCAGCTTTATTTAAGAATTGCATGGAAACCGGAGCTCAAAAAATTTTTTCACCAAAAAATCTGAAAACTAGAGTTTTCAAGCTTCAAAACCCTTTTTTTAAATTTCCTGTACGATTATTTTTCACTAAAATACAGCCTGTTGAAAATCACCCAAAAATTTCAATAATTTTTATGTTCCCTTAATTTTTGCGAGGAGTGTATTTCTCTTTATAACTACGTAGCTATAGATCTATACAGGGTGTAAGGCAAGTTGGCAAAAATAGAAACAGTAAATTCAGAGCATTATTCAGAACTGAAAAGCGGTAGAAATACTATCCGGAAATTTTCAAATTTTTCCTGTTATTTTTTTTCCATTTAAAATCATGTAATCTATGATATTATGTCACAATATAATGAAATAGTAATAATTTATTGTGAAATACTATAAAATACCAAAACACAGCAATGTAATATTTGTATTACAATCTTACCGCGACGCACGAAATCAGCTGTAAAGTCAACGCCATAAGCGTAGGAAAACTACCTATGAAGAAGCGCCATTGACTATACGCGTTGTAGGTATCACGCGCCATGTGTATCGCAAAATTTCAAATACATTGCGCGGCATCAAAACTAACATTCGTTAATTATATGATTGTTGTGCATTTCCGGTGAGAAAATAATCTGCCATCTGACTCAGACCATTCGTCTGAATCAGCTGTTTTCGTTTTGGCCAACCTGTCCCTTCCACCCTGTATATTGATGACTTGAACGGCATCACGACAGGTATAGGGGGATCCCAAGCAGTAGTAGGACTAGTGCTGGGTGCTAAAGCAGCATCACAACTTGTGACGGCTCCTTTTGCTGGAGTAGCGGTCTGCAAACATGGCCCCGCTAAGGTACTCCGCGCTGGTACCTTAGTGTTGGCCGGTGCTGCCACCGGTACGTAATAAATAAATGTACTAATAAATGTATGTTACGCAGCAATAAAGAAAACTTCTGAAAGCCATTTGAGATCGCCACCCCATCTACGGTGTGTTCCAGTACGTATTTCTCCTGAAAACCAGAGGTCAACTGATCTAACCTCACCTTTACCGGGGGAAAGGGATTTTTTTATTGGGTGAAGATGGAATGGTAACCCCGCCTGCGCTATCGGTATACGCTGACGAGTACCAGTGAAGGGTGACAGGTGAGGATGAAGGCAGGTCAGTTGGCCAATAGTGACCAATTGAACAAGAATTAACCACTATGGTTTCCAGGGGGAACCGTGTGGATGTCGACATGATAGAGTGTATTGCTAGCAATAGGACTGTTATATCTCATTGTTAGCTATGGGGTTTGTGAGGAGTCAGGTAGTGGTGTGGTGTGGTGTGGTGTGGTGTGGTCGCAGTGTTCATGGCGTGCAGCCGGCGAGCAGGCGCGGCGGGCGCGTGGTGCGCGTGGTGCGCGTGCGCAGGTCGCGCGGCGCACGGCGCGGGCGCGGCGCTGGCCGGCGTGGCGGGGCTGGCGCTGGCCGCCGCCGCCCTGCCCGCGCACCAGCGCCACCGGGCCATCGGCCTCCTACTCGGGGCTGTTGCTTTAGGTAACTTTTGAAAACCACTGGATTACGCGGCCGAGATCTATTCCCAAACCAAGCAGATCTTGTACTATGATCCGTAGTATTCTAGGACTATGACGATATGTAAGTATTTGTAAGTGTAAATATTAATATTGTGCAGTAGTCAAGGGAAAGTGAGGCAATGTGCAAAACCGCTAAAGCTTCAAAGTATGTTATAATTGAATTCTAGAACTTTAGGGTGGAGGGATTGTTATGGTCACAGGGCCAGTAATGTATTCTCTCAGGTCTTTCTATACCTACGCAGTCCGCCTTGGAAAATTCTTAGTTAAAAAATTCATTTAACTTGTCATTAAAAGTATCAATATCTGGCTGCTGAGTGATCAGAGAATTGAACAAAGAAATAGCCTGTTAAGTGGGAGCAAACTGAGCAGTATAGATAGAGCAGTGCCGATAGTAATCGCCAAGCACGCAATCGTATGCAGCATTGGAGCGCGTACAAAGAACAACGGCTGAGAGTTGCGGAATTGTCTATTCTGCTATTTATCTATTTTTATATTAGATAATAGTGACTGTATAATATTTATGTGTAAGGAATTTTTTTACTTATATATATATATATATATATATATATATATATATATATATATATATATATTTGTTTATATTATATATGTGATTTTAGTATGTATGTATATCAATAATTACTAGTACCGCATTCGAGTATTCTGACACTTCCCTGTGGTTGACTGGGAGAGAATGCTTTTAGCATTAAGTCCGCCATGCACACATACATATGTTAATGAATAAATGAAATTTATACTATCCTAATTTTAAAATAAGTAGGTAATATTTAACAGCACTTAATCTTATTGAGAAAGTTTATAACGACCGATGGATGGATGTCTGTTGTTCTTCCATACAAAAACTACGAAACGAATTTAAATGAAATTCGATACATGGATACTGTAAACTTAGCACCGGATATTTTATGTACTTACTGGATCACGTGGAAGAAGCTGAGAGATTTAAGTAGTTAATTTATAAATGTTTAAAACATCTTTGTCATACAGGAGTGTTAATTGGCTACCCATTTGGCGGTGCAGCGTATGCACTCTGGAGTCGCGGAGCCCCTTTCCTGCTATTATCTGCTGCATTACTTGCTGATCTTCGTAAGTATATACCTATATTTACATCTTCTTCTTGACGGAGCAACTAATTTATGCATTCTCTTCCAGTCAACTTTATCCTAGACCATATTTTTGACCTCCCTTTATGACATGGCACATATTTTTTCCTTTATCTGTCCCATGTAGTTATTTCTCGATCTCTCCTTCCTCTTTTACCTTTTATTTTTCTTTCCAATACGTCTTTAAAAATCATCATGTCGTATAAGGTGGCCCAGAATTTTGCCTCTACTATTATATATAATATATATATATAAATTATATATATTATATATATAAATATATATCTTATATATATATATATATATATATATATATATATATATATATATATATATATATATATATATATATATATAAATTATATATGATTAATATGCAGAAAATAGAATAGAATAAGAATAAATGTTTACTGTGAGCTGTACATTATAATTATTCATAAGATGTTATTAATTTATTTTGGCATTATCATATAATATTATTATGGCAGTGAATTTACAGGGTACAGAGGAATAACATCTGAGTCCCCAGGAATGGCAACGCATGGGGGGTATCATGGGCGAAACAGTATACTCTGTTATGTCCATAGTACTGCTCATGTCTATAGGCGACGGTTACCACTTTCCATCAGGTGGACCGTCAACTTGCTTACCATAGTTGCATAAAAAAATTAACGTCTTAAAGGGAATTTACACAGTCTACCCATACAACGGACATACAATACAATTAGCTACATAACATTAATTATTTTACAGTTATACAATGAAGTCGTCATTAAAGTTTAAAACAGATTAAAATACAACAATCAACAATAATAAATTTCCACATGGTCACAATTACAATATATTAATGATTATTTTATATATTAATTAAATTATTTATAATGTAAATATAAAAAAAGTCAAGAACCAAAGAAAAAATTCATTAAAATTGCAAAAAGTAATATCAAGTAACCATTTTTTTAATAATAAATTTAAATTTAGTATTCTTTTAGGTTATTTGGCAAATGATTATAAATTTTAATAGGCATTATGTAAGTTTTTTTGTTTGTTTCATATCAAGTTAGTTTGTGGTAAATATAGATGTTTGCGGTAAATAAATATAGATGCAGAGTAGTCTATATCATTTATTAACAAAATAAGACCATAAATAAGTTATCTGTTTGTGTACCTTTCTTCCATTCGTATTTCTACCACAAAGAATTTTTGCATAGCAACACATGGACACCATGATCTCTTCTTTGATGTCCATGACGCTTTTCATGTAGGTATATTGGCTCGTTTCATAAATTTGTCACTTAAAATTGCATAAATAAAATTTAATATCCGTTAAATTTCGAATACTAAATTAACTCGAAATACCCATCAATGTTTCATGTAATAACATGAAAAACCCATCTTGTTTCAGTCATGCAATATGTGTTTTTGGATAAAGAAGAGTTCAATCAAGTATGTACGGTGGTCTACTTTGAATTTAACTTGGTAATCTTCAACCTGCTGCTATAACATGATTTGTTTCAATTTCCTTAGATTTCCACAGAGCGTAGTGATTCCACCAAGAATGAACTATGGGGCGCGCTTAGAGTAGCGAAGCGCGAGTCGACAGGCGCTTGCGTTGGAGCTATACTGCTCACCACCAGCGTCATGGCATCATTGGAACCTTGCCTTCCTCTTTGGATTATGAAAAAGTTTCATCCGCAGGTTTTATTTAATAAATATGTAGTCAAAGAAAGAAAAAAGAAATATTTTTATTAGAATAAACTTAAATTTTTGTGGTCCCGGCATAGAGTGGGCCGGCGTAGGTGGTTTTAATTCTTAATTTCGAATGATATTACAGTGAAATTATTATCTTCATGTGATACGGGTCAATAACTCAGATATTACAAGCATTCCTGAACTGCGCTACTTACTGATCGAAAATATACTTTTTTTTCTGCAACTTAGAATGGTAAACAAGCTGACGGCCTACCTAATGGAAAGTGGTAACCGTCGCCAAAAGACATGAGCAGTACTGTGGATATAACAGAGTATACTGTTTCGCAAATTTAACCCCCCTCCCCCCATTCCTAAGGACTCGGGTGTTATTACTCTTCTTCTTCTTTTCATTTAAGAGTTTCCTCGTGTCGGTGCAACTAATTCATGCATCTTCTTCCAGCCAGCTCTATCCCAGGCCATATCCTTAACCTCCCTATACGACATGACACCTAGTTATTACTCTGTACTCTGTAAATTCACTGCCATATCCCATCCTTCAAACCGAAACACAGTCATGCAAACACAACTGTTTCACGGTAGAAACACGAATTGGACAGAGGTGCTCAAGCAAACGACTCTTGTACATAGTCTCTCTTTGGTAAAAATATTGGTTTGGTATTTAATTGTGTTACTGTATAAATTGCAAGTACATAACCAGTATATGGTTTGCAGCGCTGGCAAACAGGAGCGGTGTTCATCCCTGACAGCGTGGGCTACCTGGTGGCCGCCAGCTGCCTGGGCGGCGTGGCGCGACGGCTGGGCGCCGAGCGCGTCGCCATCACGGGGCAGGTCGCGGTGGGGCTAGCCGCGCTCGCCGTGCCGCATGCTACATCTGTAATTTCTGTTATTTCCGTGCATTTATAGATGAAAATAAAATGGTACTAGTGGTTACTGTAACCTGTATGTAGAAAATTAAATCAGATGCGTGCATGCGAGTGCGTGTGCGTGTGTATGCATGCGAGTACGTGTGCGTGTGCGTGATTACATGCGAGTGCGTGTGCGTGTGTGTGTGCGTGTGTGTGCATGTGTGTGTGCGTGTGTGTGAGTGTGTGCGTGTGTGTGTGCATGTGTCGTGTGTGTGCTGTGTGTGTGAGTGTGTGAGCCGTGTGTCTGAGTGTCTGAGCCATGTGTGTTCGGCAGGTGTCGCGGCTGGCGCTGCCGCACGCGGCGCTGGGCGGCGGGCTGTGTGTGTGAGTGTGTGAGCCGTGTGTGTGCGGCAGGTGTCGCGGCTGACGCTGCAGCACGCGGCGTTGGGCGGCGGGCTGTGTGTGTGAGTGTGTGAGCCGTGTGTGTGAGTGTGTGAGCTATGTGTGTGCGGCAGGTGTCGCGGCTGGCGCTGCCGCACGCGGCGCTGGGCGGCGGGCTGTGTATGTGAGTGTGTGAGCCATGTGTGTGCGGCAGGTGTCGCGGCTGGCGCTGCCGCACGCGGCGCTGGGCGGCAGGCTGTGTGTGTGAGAGTGTGAGTCATGTGTACGACAGGTGTGTGTGCAATTTTAAATTGTGTTCGGCGGCGCTGGGCGGCAGGCTGTGTGTGTGAGAGTGTGAGTCATGTGTACGACAGGTGTCGCGGCTGGCGCTGCCGCACGCGGCGCTGGGCGGCGGGCTGTGTATGTGAGTGTGTGAGCCATGTGTGTGCGGCAGGTGTCGCACGCGGCGCTGGGCGGCAGGCTGTGTGTGTGAGAGTGTGAGTCATGTGTACGACAGGTGTCGCGGCTGGCGCTGCCGCACGCGGCGCTGGGCGGCAGGCTGTGTGTGTGAGAGTGTGAGTCATGTGTACGACAGGTGTCGCGGCTGGCACTGCCGCACGCGGCGCTGGGCGGCAGGCTGTGTGTGTGAGAGTGTGAGTCATGTGTACGACAGGTGTCGCGGCTGGCGCTGCCGCACGCGGCGCTGGGCGGCAGGCTGTGTGTGTGAGAGTGTGAGTCATGTGTACGACAGGTGTCGCGGCTGGCACTGCCGCACGCGGCGCTGGGCGGCGGGCTGGGCGCCACGGACGCGGCGCTGGTGGCGGCGCTGCTGGCGCGGCACACGCGCCGCCTGCCGCACCTGGCCGCCCTGCTGCAGGCCACCTCCAGCGTCGCCTATGCACTCGGTACTTGTTCACTTTACTTATTCATTTAATCGCCTTTGGGATTGTAGCGCAATTTGAAAGAACTACAAGATGTGATGCTTGGTAAGGCCAAGAAAGAAAACCGACTTTCAAATTGACTAAAGTGTGAATAATCCAAATCCTCTCGCCAGATGTCTGATTTCTCGTAACAGAATATTTTAGCTTAATGACTAGTGTGATATTAGCTGTAATTTTGGTCTCATAAATTTGGTTATAAAGGTTATTATATCAAGCTCAAATATCTTCACTATCGTTCATCTTTGTAAATTCATATCAAGCCACTTACACATGGAGTCTCTTACAAAATAGGTAAAGAGAATCAACTTCTAAACACTTAAATTTAAACTTACTGAAGGAGCAATCTCCCTTTCTCATTCAATAGTCGCCATATCGCCCACATTAAACCGCGAGAATAGGACTTCTTTCTGATGGAACTTTGAATTTGGAAAAACCTATATAGATTATGGAGTTTAGGCGGTTTCCCATCCTCCTCCTGAAATGATTTTGTACTAATACTCAAGATTATGTTACTGAAATGATTTCGTACTAATTCTCAAGTTTATGTTATTGAAAATGGCAATTAAACAAGAAATGCCCCATCTGATGAAAAGACGCAACCTCCAAGTTATACCATAGACACCACAGGATACACTATGACGCTTGTAGTGAATTATATAATTATTTATGGCAATTTTAAAGTGTGTTTGTTGCAACAGGTCCAATAGTTGGCGGCACCATGTCCTGGTGTGTAGGTTTCGAGACAGCACTTCGAGCGCTGGGAGTTCTCAACTTGCTGTACGCTGGACTGCTGTACAGAGCCCTATCTGAGCATCCTCTATCAGAACAGGTCTGCATTTTCTATTAAAAAAATATGGTACCTTGAAATTTGAATTAAAATCTGCCGTGATTTTAAGCCACTTCAAAGAAGGGGTGGGAATAATGGAACAATTGGTTTTCCTTTCAAATGTTCAAATGTCTAGAACTGTGTGATCCCAGCATAGAATGAGCCATAACTTCCTTTTCGGTGGGTGTCGTAAGAGGCAACTATGGGAGCTTAATGGTCGAGGGATGAGCAGCAATACCCCTTTTAAAACATCGTTAAAGCCAAACTGCGGTTGCAAACCCGCCTGCCAAACGTGGCAACTACTGGTTACAGGGGAAGTCTATGTTAAGCAATGGAGAGTTAACGGCTGATATAATAAGTAATACAAATGTCTAAAGACATAATGGGACACTGTACAAGTGTAATATTTCTCCGAAAATAAAAACGGTTTAGTCGTGAACACACTGACGAACGACAAGACGTATTGTTAATACCCTATAAATATGTATATTAATATATATCCTGTTTTTGTTACTTCATGTAGTGTTTTTACTATTTGTGAAAACTTATTCGTGGCTTAGTTTGTACCTAATCTTGGTTTTCCTGTAAAGAAATACATAATTATGAGACAAACACGAGTTCAAACCATATATATTGTAAATTTTACGGCCTTGATGATATCCATTTTGTTGTTCATGACTATAGGTGACGTATATACGCTAACAGTATATGCTGGTGGAGTACCAGTAAGAGATGATAGGCGAGAATGAAAAGGCAACTCAGTTGGCCTGGAATTAAGCACAATGGTTTCCAGAGAGCGGGGAGGTCGGCTTGACAAGATGCATTTTCAAGATGGGGCTGATAAACCTCATTACTAAGAATCCTTTCCCCCTATAGGTGACGCTTACCACTTTCCATTAGGTGAGCCATCAACCATATAGTATAGGACTAGGCGTAAGAGATTTTTTTATCCATTATTCCTGCTTCTAGTGGGGTGCCAGTACTCCTGACGATGAGCCTGACAGTGAAGAAGGCGAGGTGACTCCTCTCCGACCACAAATATACACACCGTTGCACTAATATGAATGTTGTATGTGTGTGTTGCCATATACTGGTCGTGTTCAAACAACTAACTTATTTCTCCATTTCTAAATAAATTTCAATGTGATGTGTAAACAATAAATTGTTTTATTTATTAATTCATAAGTCATCTTATAAAAGATCATACATTATTGAAAACATAATAATAATTTCTTAATAGAAACAACCATACTGTTTCCTCTTCTTATTGTACGCACACTGCCCGCTGGTAATTAATGCTCTTTTCCACTCAGCGTTTGCTGGAAGAGAACTCTTACAGAGTTAAGCTCGCCTGTTGTACATCTTTATTTTATATATATTATATGATTGTATTTTTTTTTTGTATACCATAAAGTATAAATAAATAATAAAATCTCATATTTTTGGACTTGCAAAAATACCCCCCCCCCCCCCCTACCTGTACAGTTACCACTCAAGTACCTTGCTTTTTCAACGATTGTTGATTGTCGGTTGAGGTATGATACGTGTATCATACCACCAGTTATTCCTATGTTTCCAGCCTGGTACCACGCCAGCGTACACCGATAACGCAGTCGGTGTTACCATTCCATTTTTGTCCACTTTCTCTAAACTACTTAATTTACAATTTTTTATTTTCATTCTTTCATCTCTTTTACTGTGTATTATGTGTATGTTTGTATTGTTATTTGTGTGCTGTAAGTAATGTAAATAAATTATCTACCTATCTATCTATCTACTAGGCTATGAAGCTCTCAGTATTATATCAGAACTCTTTTCATATAGAATAACTACTAGTTTTTTGGCATTTAAACTATTGTTCAGTTGTTTCATGTCTACTTAGTCCAAAAGTTACACTGTGACATAGGATCAAATGTCAAAATTATAGTATAAATTTTTCAACAAATATAAATAAAATTTTTGTGATTTTTAACATTGTAAATTTAGAAAATGGCATGTAAAAGACCTTTGGGTAAGTCCTTGTAATACATTTAAATACACTTAGTAGTAAGGGACTTAGTAGACAGAAAAAATTGCAGTTAATTAGTACCTACATATTTACTCGCATTTTTATTGTCGACGCCGATAGTATTTAAATATGTGTAAATAACGGGAAAGTTTCAAATTAACTATCGCTATAGTATATTTCTTGGTTCTTGAGTGGCGACCGCGTAAGGGTAAACGCAGTGTAGGACGACCACCCACTAGGTGGAGTGACGACCTGAAATGCATTGCAGGGAGTTTTCAGTGGATGCATATAACTTTATATCATGGCTCAGGACCGTTCATTTTTATGGCAGTCTATGGGGAGGCTTTATAGCCCAGCAAGTGGATCAGATAATGGCTGAAATGATAGTAGTATATTTATAGTATACTAATTTTTACCCACAACTACGTACACGTAGATTTTCAAATCAGCGAAACAGAATACTTCTAGATAACGTATAAGGGTAAAGCTTACACCAGATTTAAGTTCCATTTAATCATGAAGCAGTTGTGTTTGCATGACTGTGTTTCGGTTTTTTTTTATAACACAGGAGGCAAACTAGCTTGCGGCTCACCTGATGGCAAGTGACTACCGCCGCCTATAATCACCCACTACACCAGCAGCATTGCAGGTGTGCTGCCGGCCTTTTAAAAAGGAAGTAGGCTGTTCCCTACGGTTGACTGGGAGAGAATGCTTTTAGCATTAAGTCCGCCATGTACACATATATGTACTAATGAATAAATAAATAAAAATATATATACTGATTTACGCATGCAAAGCAGCAGGACGCAGTCAGGTTATACTAGAAGAATTAGACATAGTGTAGTTAATTTTTTATATAAATTTACAATTGATGTAAAGAAAGAAGGAGCACTGACCCAAAAAAGTTACTATGCAGGAATGCAAGCTGGCAACTATGTGATTGCAACGATTCTATTATAATCATTAAGTGTAGATATTTGACTTGTAGATTTTATATACAACGCATGCCAATGACACAATGCTGTTTATTGAGTTTGGCAATAAAACTAGAATAGATTTGACTACAGATTAGATATTCAGATACATCCACTAGATTCGAACCAACAACTACATAACTCTTGGTTCGAAGTCTAATTCGACTTAATATTTCTTAAGCAAACTTCCTGCCTAAAACACATTTTTTTTTCTTCATCTAAAAAATCAATTGGACTCGTTAATCTGTCCAGATATTCTCCAAATAATTAGAAAAAAGCCTTTGGATCTTTATTTACATACAATAAAATGCTTAATGTATAGTGCTTACAGCATGTAGAATACAGTAAGAGCTGATAAGCTTACTTAAATGAATGAAATTAACCACGATGGTTTTGTTTTCAAGGGGCCAGGGTGAAGATCGAGCTAACAAAATATTTTGTTAGCAATGAGACTAATACTAACAATACTTCCTTCTTGGGGGGAAAGGGATTATTAGTAATGGAGACTAAGAATCCCATTGCTAGCCAACATATACCCAACCAGGTCGACCTCCTCGCGGTTCCCCCTGGAAACTATCATGGTTAATTCCTGATGAATTCATCATGATGGGCTAACTTGTCTGTTTTCATTCTCATCTATCACCCTTCACTGGTGCTCCGCCAGCGTATCCCGTTAGCGCAGGCGGGGTTACCATACCATTTTCATCCATAAAAAAAAAATACTTTCTTCTCTTAAAGACCGTAAGAAGGTCGACTTGAAAGGACATATAGTTTTTTTTAATTGATGATTGTGGAATGATAACTCCGCCTGCGCCAACGGGATACGCTGGCGGAGCACCAGTGAGGAATGATGAGAATGGTGAGAATGAAAAGGCAGCATCTGTTTTAAGTCGCTGGTCCTCTTTACTAATTCTTTCCCCCACAGGCCCTGGACCGGGTGCTTACCAGCTCCCCACAACAGTGGGTTACAACAGCCACGATCCATCCCGGTACCGTAACCCGATGTTCTCGTTCGGAACAAACGCGGGGTTCAGGGTGAAGCAGTTGGGGCCAGGCCCTGCCTACAAGATACACCGGGTCACGAGGGACGGCATGATGACATCGCCGGCGTGGAGTTTTGGTGCCAGGTAGATCGTATGCCTATTAAACGAATTAAATAATAAATTATATCTAAGACCTCTGTTATAATCCTAAGATTTCTATGACGTCACGAAGTAAAATTATCCCTGTGTACACAGTGTAAGAGAAAGAACACTCGAACTTATACCTACTTACCTAACCTGCTCAGCGTAAGCTAATATGATTATTCTCCTATTATGGAGAGCCCAGCAGTGGGATCTTAGAGTAGGGTGGTACGATATTGATGATTCAGTTACGACTGAACTCGGAACCTAATCTGGACTAAAGAATTATAACATGGAGAATTGTTTTTGTATCAGGAAGGCACGGATTATTAGGCAAACAAAGATCAATTAGTAATATATTTCGTGAGATGATAACCAGATAAACCAGATATTCCAAATATTCCACTTTATTAGTCTATCATCTATTGTAGCTGTAAATAAATAATCAGAGAGTCTTATCAGTTGCCATCGACTTTAATCCAATGTTCAGATATTTATTTAATATTTGACAATAGGTTTGGGCAACGAGCAATTCTCCGAACCCCAGGTCCAGGGGCGCACGCCCCAGAACGCTGCCCACCGATGAAAGAACCACGTGCTCCAGTCTACTCCATGGGTGCTCGCACCAGCTTCACTCTGAAGAGGCCTGGCCCAGCGCCCAACGCATACGCCCTGAGACTTGGGAGTGAGACGCCTGCCTACACAATGGGCGCTCGAGTCGGGTTCAATCCGAAGGCGAAATCTCCTGGACCCGCAGTCTATTACCAACACAGCACTGATGTTTATAAAACGAAGTAAGTGTAGTTTAAGCATTATTTTAACTGTAGCGCTATCTCATCTTAATATGAGAAAAAATAAAGAGGTTTGTTACTTCAACCCATCGGCAATCCGCTAGTACAAACCGATAATAGACACGAGATTAACTTTCCATTTTTGTCTTATTAAAAAACCTCTTGCTCTTAAGAATCCAGAACCATAAGATTATTTTAAGGAAGTGGAAGGGGGACAGGCCCCTATTATTTTATCTTCATTATTACTTCTAAAAATTATTGCGCGGGGTCTCTAACCTTTGTATTCTATCCTAATACACTACATTGGGGGGAAAGGGATTGTTAGTAATGGAGACTGAGAATCCCATTGCTAGCAATATACCTAACCAGGTCGAACTTCTCGCGGTTCTCCCTGGAAACTATCATGGTTAATTCCTGATGAATTCATCATGATGGGCTAACTGGCCTGTTTTCATTCTCATCTATCACCCTTCACTGGTGCTCCGCCAGCGTATCCCGTTAGCGCAGGCGGGGTTACCATACCATTTTCACCTATCAAAAAAAAATACATTTTTTTTTATACAACTTAGAATGGCAAACAAGCTGACGGCCCACCTGATAGAAAATGGTAACCGTCGCCTATGCGTCGCCCCATGCGTTGCCATTCCTGAGGACTTAGGTGTTATTCCTCTGTATCCAGTAAATTCACGCCATATCCCACCCTTCAAACTGAAACACAGCCGTGCAAACACAGCTGCTTCACGGTTGAAACACGAATGGGACAGAGGTACCCAAGCAATCGACTTTTGTCTCCCTCTGGTAACACTACACTATACTACTGTGTTATACGACACCATATTAATTCTTATTAATATTAATATGAAAGTAAATTTATTTATTACCCATTAATGGCTTGCCGTATGTGCTACGGTATAGAATGGGCCACCCCTTCCTCTCCGTTGTTAGTTGTCGTAAGAGGCGACTAAGGGAGAGCGAGGGATGGGCAGTAGCGTCCCTCTTAAAACATGTCTAAAAACCTAACTGCGGTTGTCAACTTGCCTGACAAACGTGGCAATTATTGGCAAAACTGGGGAGTTTTCCCATAAGGGGTTATGGGGAAGGCCTATGTTCAGCAATGGACACTTAACAGCTGAAATAATAAAATGACTTAACCAATTACTATGGAATTTGGTAGTTCCCCCAGACTACCATAAGGAACAATTCTGAGCCATCTGCATCCACTGACTTCCTGCAATGCATTTGAGGTCGTCACTCCATCTAGTCATCTAGAGGGTCGTCGTACATTTTGTTGGCATGTAAGAGGTCGCTACCCAAGAACTTTTTTCCCCATCGGTTGTCGGTTCTTTGATCAACCCATTGCCAGTTCAGCTTGCTTATCCTTCGGGCTATGTCGGTTACTTCCGTTCTTTTGCGGATATCCTCGTTTTTTTTTTTTTTTTTTATACAACTTAGAATGGCAAACAAGCTGACGGCCCACCTGATGGAAAGTGGTAACTGTCGCCTATAGACATGAGCAGTACCATGGACATAACAGAGTATACTGTTTCTCCCATGATACCCCCATGCATTGCCATTCCTGAGGACTCAGGTGTTATTCCTCCATCAGTAAATTCACGCCATATCCCACCCTTCAAACCGAAACACAGCCATGCAAACACAACTGCTTCACGGTTGAAACACGAATGGGACAGAGGTTACCCAAGTCGACTTTGTACAAAGTCTCCCTCTGGTCTCGTTTCGGATTCTATCACGCAAAGAAACTCCGAGTATAGTCCTTTCCATAGCCCGCTGAGTAACTTGAAGCTTTTGCATACGGACAATCGTGTACGACCATGTTTCGGTTTCATAAGTCAACACTTGGCGTGTTGCCTAAACCTAAGCATGTTCACGATTTCTAGTTTTCCGTTTACAATATCTGAATAACCCTTATCATAAAACAATTCGCGACTTATCTCGTGTTTGATGTTGTAATCTGCTGAGAAGAATCCGCAAAAAACCCTTACAATTGTTTCAAATGGCCATGTACAAGATAATTTTACATTTGCATGGGTACTGTGTGTACCAAAATAACCGACATAGCCCATAGGATAAGCAAGCTGAAGTGGCAATGGGCTGGTCACATAGCTCGAAGAACCGACAACCGATGGGGCAGTAAGGTTCTTGGGTGGTAACTGCGTACGGGTAAACGCAGTGTGGGGTGAACTAGATGGAGTAATGACTTGAAATAAAATGCAGGGAGTCAGTGGATGCCGGTGGCTCAGGACCGTTATTTATGGTAGTCTATGGGGGACAGTTATGTCCAGTAGTGGACGAATAATGGCTGAAATGATGATGATGATAGGTACTGTGATTATAATTAGAATTAAGTTTTATTATAAAATCTATTGTCACAGAATGCCGATATATTCTTTGGGTGCGCGGTTAGAAGGCGCTGGGAAGGCATCCAAGTCCCCAGGGCCAGCCAACTACCCACCACACCTCTACAACACTAAAAAGGTACCATGCAATTTATTTACTCAAGCTCCGATTTAAGGTTTAAATTAAAATGTATATTTAAAGTAATATTATAAATTCAAGTTTCATTCTTTGTTTATAATCGAGAAACTAAAAAAATACTTAACCGATTTCAAAAATTCAAAAGTAACATGACCTATATTTTATCTATCTACTTATTTACCCATGAAAAACCGGTACAGGTCGCTAGTTAATTACCTAGTTTTTTGTTAGATATTTTTTGTTTGGTTTTTTTATTTTTTGTATTATTTTTAATTATTTAAAACCTTATTGTTTATTTCTTTAATTTTTAGTTTATAAAATATTGTAACTTATTTCAAACACAATTGTATGATTGTTATTGAATAAATAAATGAATGAAAAGAAAATAGAAAAATAAAATAGTCCAGCCATGCTTTGCTACAAATGAAAATGCCATTCTAAATTGTATAAAAAATAAAACACTCACAAAACAGGAAGATGTGGCCATTTCTATGTTGGGGTCACACAGCGACCATTATATTATATTTTATTTTCAGAATCCGTACTCATACTCATTTGGAACGAAGCACGGTGACTATGCCCCGCCAATGATCATCAAGGAAGACACAATGGACTGTCTATAAAGTTAAATCGTAAAGTTATAACTACCAGCCTATCTAAAAATCAAAAACAAACTGCTATAAGGGTATTAAAAGTAACTTTTATAATTGAACCTACCATGGCAAGACAGCGATGTTACCGTTACGATATAGTAGAGGAATGAAATGTATGTAATCGTATGAAGATTAGAGACGCTTCTATTTAACGTCAATTAACGCACTATTTTATAATCGCGACAAAATGTCATAAATTTACTAGAGGAAGACTTTGTACAAAAGTCGTTTTGCTTAGGCACCTCTGTCCCATTCGTGTTTCGGCCGTGAAGCAGTTGTGTTTGCATAGCTGTATTTCGGTTTGAAAATATTTTTGTAAATTTACTGCCGTATCCCAGTGAATTTACAGGGTACAAAGGAATAACACTTAACTCCTCAGGAATGGCAACGCATGGGCGGTATCATGGGCGAAATAGTATAAATACTCTGTTTTTTTTTATTGGTAGAAAATAGTAACCCCGCCTGCGCTAACGGGATACGCTGGCGGAGCACCAGTGAAGGATGATAGATGAGAATGAAAACAGGCCAGTTAGCCCATCATGATGAATTCATCAGGAATTAATCATGATAGTTTCCAGGGGGAACCGCGAGGAGTTCGACCTGGTTGGATATATTACTAGCAATAGGATTCTCAATTTCTATTACTAACAATCCCATTTCCCCCTATAAGTATTCTGTTATGACCATGGTACTGCTCATGTCAGGCGACATTTACCACTTTCCATCAGGTTGGCGTCAGCATGTTTGCCATTCTAAGTTGCATAAAAAAAAAATTGTAAAAGTCCTTCGATATTTAAGTTTTGAAATTTGTTGAGTTTTTTCAACGAAATCAGTTGAGCTTCCTCGAATACATAATTGTGTGCGCATTCTAATGCGTCTGTAAAAACAGCATAATCATAAAAATTGTCATGTTTTTATAACTTGTTGCCTCGTTATTGTTTTTTTTTCTAGTATTTGTAAACCATGATCGTTTATGTTTCAAGTCTAAAGCTGTATAATTGTTTTATTATTTTTACAATATAATATTTTAACTAAAACCTCGTATATTATTACAATACAAGTTTTTTCCCGCTATTTCGTCCGCGTGACTAGGAAAAAAAAACTATCTTTCTCCATCCCAATAAGTACGTATATATCAAATTTCATAGTGATCAGTTAAAGGTCGGTTATAAAAAAAATTCAATTTTCGATTTTTCATATATTAGAGTGGATATAGCAAACTATATCTCGTGACATAGTGATTATTCTTTGTGAATTTACGCAGAGTTTACTAATATTTTCCGGACTCTTTAGAAAGAAAATCAATCTTCCAGGTCTGCATGGAAAGTTCCAGAGCCAACGTACCTATGATCTAGAACAGCCTTTCCCAAAGTGGGCGATAACGCCACCTTGTGGACGCTGCAGGTGGTAAGAGACCCAGAAAAAAATGGGGCCGTTGTGTAAAGGCTTTGGGTTCGATCTGTTGATCTTGAAGTAATAGTGGTTTTTAAGTAGGTGAAAAAATGGGGGCGCTAAAATATAATTTATTCTCAAAGTGTGTTTAACAAATAAGTTTGGGAACGCCTGATCCAGAATATGGTTTCAGTACCAAATTCCATGCAGCCAAGCATTATATTTGAACAACAAAGGAAATACCTTTTTTGTAGATCGACAAATCTTATTCGATTATTTTCTGTACTAACTTAATAGAGGAAATAAAACGATTATATGCAATAGAAACATTATATTATCATCTAACAACAATTATAATATAATTATAACAATTATACTGAGCTAAAGAGGTTTGTTTGAATCGAAGCATTTGGCGTTCCATTGTTTCTGCCTACCCTAATGGGAGACAGGCGTGACAGATATGTATGTATGTATGTATACTGAGCTAAAATTATATCTTTTTAACGACGGCCACAACTGATAGGTGGCGACACTGTAGTTACTTCTGCGATGTGACATTCGATAGTAAGAATCTATTAGTTTATCCTATTTCATAATTATTGTACAATGGAATTGATTCTAAGGTCATCCTCTAAATATGTCTTTTAAATTATTATCTTAATATTTTTTTATACCACTGAGGTGGCAAACAAGCATACGGCCCACCTGATGCCAAGCGGTTACCGTAGCCCATGAACGCCCGCAACACCAAAGGCATTACGCGCGCGTTGCCGACCCTGAATACCTATCTTAATATATCTTATAACATATGGATATGGATAACAATGAAATTGTGCTCTGCATGGGTATTTATGAGGCACTAATAATTGATAGGTATAGATGAAACCAGGTCAGTTCTTTTTAAATGAGTGAAAATGGCATGGTAACCCCATCTGCGCTATCGGTATACACTGGCGGAGTACCAGTGAGATGAAAAGGTAGGTCAGTTAGCCCATCATGACGAATTCAATGATAAATTAGTCACGATAGTTTCCAAGGGGAACCGCATGGAGATCGACCAGATAGGATATAGATAGTAAAATCAGGTCAGTTGGACTATCGTGACTTTTTTTGGATTAATATCCAATTAGACCAGACAAAATTAGTTCTTACTGACGATTAAAATGTCTTATTCCTATATAGAAATATTAGACATATGAGGATATTCGCATAAATTTTAGTTTTAGATTATGGCGTTTCAGAATCAACCCCTACTTACAAATTTACTAACTTTCTTACTAAGATTTCTACAAATACAACTAGTTCATCATACAACTGTATCACTTCTAGAATTTTCTTAACGATCTCAACTTGTTGTTTCTCTTCATGCCAGCAGCTCGGACCCTCAGCCAGTACTCCTTTGTACTGGGGTCCAACTCTTCTATAGGTACAGGCTTTAGGCGTAGCGTCCACAACCATTCAGGGTACTCGCTGTCATCTTTTAACTGGAATAGAAGAGAGGAGTACTGTAGTAAGGAAAATAGATTACAATATATTGTAGTTATTATTTATATCTACTGTAATTATCAATACTTCATCAAACCTCAGTACAGGATCACAATTTGTATAATGTGACACTGTGAATGAGAGAGTGAATAGGAGAAAATATTTCTGCTTCATGACCGCCCCGCTTCATGACCATGACCAGTCTAAACTGGTTGAAACCACAGACAACCCATGTAAATTTTTAATACTTTCTAAATACATGATATTACAAAGTAAAATGTCATGTGTAGCTTGAATCAGTTTATGTCATGTTAATATTGAGTCGACCTACATTAGTACACTTTTATTAATTAACAAACTATAAAAGTACACATTTTATTTATTTATTTATTTAATGTAATTTGGTAGCCACTAGAATTTGCACAAAATAAAATACAAGTAAACGGAACACAAAATTAGACAATACTAAATTAAACAAAATTAAACAAACAAATACTATTGAAAACTACAACAACATTGTCAATATTTTAATATATGGGTCATTGTCAAATTTTGCGCAGGTAAACTTGTCCCTCGACTGTATTATTATTTTTACTAGTAATAATCACGTAATCTCTAACAAATTTTACATTAAATACAAAATATATCGTATTTACAAATATTGATTAAAAATAAATACAAATTATAAAGTATTTAGTATTTTTTTTAAGTAACATTATGGTCATTCTGGTAACAGAATGGTTTTCCCTTTGTGTCCCAAGTAGTATTCCGTTGTAATAAAAATCAAATAATTTATTTTTCTACTATATCAACCTACACTAAATAAATTATTACCATAAACAGAGTATTGTTAATATTAATAAAGTATGTCTTAAAACCGGTAATTATCAAAATGTAATTAATAACTTTTTTTTGAAACTATGTCCCGCATATTGTGTGAAACTGTGTGGACTACTATGTTACTGATTAAATCGCAACATAAAATAGAGATGGCGTTGCTCACACTTTGTACTACATTCATCAGTATGTCTGGAGTAATCGTGGTTCACCGTTAAATCGGAGGAAGGTGTACAGGGGGTGTCAGTGGATCGCCAGGCGTTGAATAGGCTACGTGTTTTTAATGTGCGTCTACTTTGTTACCTACCTATTTACGTAAGTAAACCAACTTATTTTTTATTATTTTACGTTTAGTATGTTGTTAATATGGTAAATATTATAAATATGAAAAAAAAAGTGTACTTTACGCTTTACTATTTGACTTATGTCTTGTGGCATGTTATATTTACTACTCTGTTACTACGCAACTTTGTTACCAGCGCGTGGTTACAGAGTTGTTAAGAAAGTAACAGAGTTGAATATGCCTATATTCTTTAACTTTATACTTATATTTTATATTTCAAACTATATATGTTTAATAATCGGGTGTTTTTAAATTATTTATAAACTTGGTAAAACGTATGTATTTTAATAAACTTAAATATATTGTTACAAGATACTGCGTGTTACCTGTGATTTCAAGATGCCACTTACGCCTGCTGAAAAGCAGCGACAGTACCGAGAACGGCGTAAAAATAATCCTGAAAAGGAAGCAGAATCTAAAAGAAAAGATCGAGAGAGATACCATGCTAATAAACGCTTAGTACAAGACTTAACAACACGTGAACATCGAGCAATAAAAAAAAAATGGCGATCTGCAAATTCTAAACGGAGAGATAAGGCTAGAGCTCTTCGTATTGTCATGCAAATCCCAGAGTCATCACCTCCTTGTTTTAATAGACCGGCCCCTCCAGGGCAGGACCAAATTACTCCAAATGCTGATCATTGTTTATCGACACCTCAGCTGTCTACTTCTTGTGAAAAAACTATTAGCTCTACTATATCAGCAGCTTCTCGTGGCAGAAAGCGCGTAAAAAGGAACAGATCGAAGTTATTTAGAGATAACATAAAATTAAAGCAACAGTTAGAAGTAATGAAAAAGAGGTGCGAAAAATATAGAAAAAGGTACAATAGGGCAAAACATAAGAAATCTGAAATTGAAGATGATAATCAAGAGCATCAACAGAAATATGAGATTTTATCAAATGCTATTAAAAAACGATATGAGAATATAAAAAGTCGGAAAGAGAAATGGGCAATTCAAAAAATATTTGAAGATGAGGCTGTTAAATGTTCTAGGCAAAAAGTGCAAATCATCCAAGAATGTCTTGGTGTGAACCAAGGCTACATACGGAAAAAAACAGCGTCTGCGTAAGAAAAAGCTTTTCAGTGAAAAAATTAAGGAATTTTTTGAACGTGATGACGTATCAAGAGCGACTGCTGGAAAAAAAGAAACCATTTCTTTAAAGAAAAATAAAATGCAAAAGCGCTACCTACTAGATAATATGAAAAATCTTTACCTTTCTTTTAAACGCGAAAACCCTACTATGACATGTAGTTACAGAACTTTTACCCGATATAGACCATTTTATGTTTTGTTTTCGACTGTTGCTGCAAGAGAAACATGTTTGTGTCGAATTCATATTAATATTCAATACTTGGCAATTGCTTTGTGTAAAAACAAAGTTATTGGAACCTCAGACATTAACAAGATTATTGTAAACCAAGTATGTGATCCAGATTCACTAGTATGTATGACCGGAATCTGTTCTGTATGTCAATTAACAGAAATTATTTATGATACATCAAAAGAAGAAATAATAGTAAAATATCCTCAATGGTTAACTAAAACTGAAGTGATAGAGAAGTCAGGAAAGAAAATCAAAGTTACAAAAAGTATCAAAGAAGAGATAAAGAGTACTGGAAAAGCTTTGATAGATAAGTTTAAAATTACACTAAAGGAGTTTAAAAGGCATGTATATTACATTAAGACACAGTACAGAAATTATAGAAAATGCATAGATGACTTGGCTATAAATGAAATTGCGCTGCATATTGATTTCAGTGAAAATTATAACTGTAAATGTTCTGAAGAAATACAATCTTATCATTTTGGCGGGTCCCGAAATCAAGTATCCATGCATACTGGAGTGATCTATAGTCGTGGTTCAGATAACAAGCTAGAGGTATCATCGTTTTGTACCGTGTCTGAAAACCTTTCACACAACCCTGCCGCAATTTGGGCTCACCTCCATCCAATCTTTGCTTCAATTCATGACAAATTTCCGGAAGTAAATATCCTGCATGTATTTTCAGACGGCCCAGCCACTCAATATCGACAGAAACAAAACTTTTATTTGATATGCACAAAGTTATTCTCTAAGTACAAGTTTACTAAAGTTACTTGGAATTTTTTTGAAGCAGGACATGGCAAGGGTGCCGCAGATGGGATTGGCGGTTTTTTAAAGCGTACTGCTGATCAACTTGTTGCACGTGGAACTGACATATCTGATGCTACAAATTTCTATCGTGCTTTGAAAGATGTAAGTAAAGTAAGACTATTTCTAATAACTAATGAGGAAATTGAACTGAGTTCATCGCAGATCCCAGAGTGTATCGTGCCATTATTAGGTACCATGAAAGTCCATCAAGTTTTTACTGAGGAAGCTGGAGTTCTAAAGTATAGATATTTGAGTTGTTTTTGTCAGCGCGGCTTTTGCTCTTGCATGAATCCCAAGCACTACGTTCCAATAAAAACTGCAGTAGAAAAATCAACTCCTACTACTTGCAACAAGAATTCTCTGTCCAATATAAGCAACCTTTGTCAAAAGCGAGCAAAAGGGTTTTACAGCATTGTTTACAGCTCAGATTCCGATGATGATGCCCCTCTGATATCAATAAAAGAAAAATCTTCCAGCACTTATTTGTCAGAAGAACCTAGCACATCAAAGCAAAATGACGATGCTTTGATTGAGAAGGAAAATATTCATGTTAAAAAAATAAAAGAAGGTATTTGTGTCTTGGTAAAAATTTCCAGTTTAAAACAGGACTATGTATATTTAGGTAAGGCCTTATCTGAAATAGAAGACGATGGTGAGGTCAAAATTATGTTTTTCAAGTCAATCGATCATACGGCTACAAAATTTAAATTAGTTAAATCTGATTTATCTTATGTATCTTTTGATAATATACTTGCTATTGTTCCAGAACCTAAAAAAGTCCGTAAAGGTAAAAGAATATATTTCCAATTTGATACTGCTTTAGAGATATTTGAAAAATAATTTTCACTTTCAACTTACTTTTTCAAGAATATAAGATTTTTGTTCTTATATTGTTTATTATAGACCAGTCATGACGTTTATTGTCACTAATATTGAAGTTTATGTTTATGTTTTCAACTCTCAAGCTCAACCAAGTGAAATTTAGTCAAGTAAGATACAAAAAAAGAACAACTATGTTACTGCCGTCCAACTCTGTTACTTTTCTGTCCCAAAGATTGAAAGACATACCAAAGATGTTTATGAAAAGCTAATGATTATAATATGGTAATATAATAATACATAATATGTTAGATATTTATACAGTCATATTTTATAGTTATCAGTTAATAAATAAATATTTAGAGTATTTCGGTAGAATTTAATATGTGTCAAAATTCAAAAAGTAACAGAGTTGTTTAGAATTAAAATTAATAATTGTTAAACTTAAAAAACAAATGTGATTCTAAATGTGATTATAAGATAAAAGACTTTAATTAACATTGATGCCAAAAAATTTGGTACTAAATTATTTAGTTTCATAATATAAATTAAAACGTTATTATAACAGAGTTGTTTTATTTTTAGACCCTCACCTACAAAATACGGGATAAATAAAAAATCATCAGTTAAACATCGCGGCCGGCTGTAATAGTTAAAAATTTAGTTGTTTTAGTAAGCATGAACAAAAAGAAAAGTCATGTTTAAGAATTTTTGGTTTTTTAAAAGTTGAACATTTTTAGTGGCAGTTACCTGCGCAAAATTTGGCAATGACCCATATATGATAATTATCATAGTTTATAAGGGTCATTGTCCATTAAACAAACATTTATACACAATAGGAGCCACAGAGAGCTCTCTATCTCGACGCTGTTTTGACATTGAAGAAACAGCTGCTCATCTTATCCTGGAATGTGAAGCTGTGGCCCCTCAACATTTAGAAGTCCTCGGAACAGTGAGGTCGCTCCATGAGGCCTATGAAGATCCCAGGAAGCTTCTGTGCTTCTAGGCTGGCTGTACTAGTCATGACTCATAGGCACAATGACTCAAATCAGAGGCTAAGCGCAAAAAATAGACTCTAATTTACATTACATTATCATAGTTTATCTAAATGATCACATTAATTCCTATTTCTTATAAGCCATAAAGAAAGGGACCTGACAGCAGTCAGAGTAACTAGAACAGATCAGCATCTCCCGGATATCGTCCTTGCCTCCGCATACCTGCCGAGCGACGAGGACATACCAACTCCGGAGCTCAACCTACTGGTCGAGTTTTGTGAGAGGGAGAAGCTGGATCTGGTCATCGCTGCCGACTCCAACGCGCATCATACCCTTTGGGGTAACGGCAAGTCCAACAACAGAGGTGAGGAAATGCTGCATTTTATTTTTAGTAATAACCTTACTCTAATTAACAAAGGTTCTGAACCTACCTTTATAAACGTTCGATCACAAACTATTATAGATCTAACTCTAACGACTGTTGGTATTTCGGAATCTGTTTGCGACTGGCATGTATCCAATGAAATATCATGCTCAGACCATAGATGGATTCGATTCTTCATCAATATGGAGTTACCCAAACCACAGCCTAGACGTATACCTCGAAGGACTAACCAACATAAATTTCTTAAACTGGTCAGGGAAAAATTCGACAATCAACTGCCACTATCAGATGATTTAGCGGTAACAGATCTGGATAACAGTGCAAACTACATGACATCCATTTTAACCTCAAGCTATGAACAGTCCTGTGCCCTAACCACACCACAGTACGGAGGGAGACAACACTGGTGGTGTCCGAAATTGGAAAGACATCGTCGTAAGTTAAGGAAACTGTTTAACATAGCCATGAACAAACGGTCACAAGAAGACTGGAATAAATACACAACATCCAAAAAACAATATAAGAAACTCATACGCCGGAGAAAGCAAGAATGCTGGAGGCGTTTCTGTACAAACATAGAAAACAATAACCAGGTGATTAAAGTAAAATCATGTCTCTCTAATGAGAAAGATCATACAATAGGTTGCCTTAAGAAACCTGATAATAACTATACAAAGAACGACACAGAAACAACCGAATTGCTACTAACCACACATTTTCCAGGTTTCCAGACTACTGCGGAGTGGTCATGGGAACCATACAAGGAAAGGGAAACCAGCAGCTCGGACTGGGAAGTGGCAAACAGAGTTATAAATAAAGAGAAACTACTATGGGCAATCAGTACCTTTCTACCATTTAAAGCGGCAGGCCTGGATGGAATATTTCCAGCCCTTCTGAAATGGAGCGGGAGCATCATAGCTGACTATTTAGTACAGCTGTTCCGAGCGTGTATAGCTCACCGCTACATACCTTTGAAATGGCGTGAGGTAAAAATTATATTTATTCCTAAACCAGGTAGAGGAGATTACACTGTGGCAAAATCCTTTCGACCGATCAGTCTCACCTCGTTCTTTTTGAAAACTTTGGAGAGACTATGTGACAAAGAGATTAGATGTCAAGTCTCCTTGTGTAAACCTTTACACCCTAACCAACATGCTTACAGTGAAGGCAAGTCAACAGAATCGGCACTTCATAACGTAGTATCTCGAATAGGCAACGCATTGCAATCGAAGCAGCCAACCTTAGGTGCATTTATAGACATCGAAGGGGCATTCGACAAGACAAACTTTGCCAGTATAAGTCGGGCACTAGCTACACATGGAGTAGAAATAACACTTAGACAATGGATACATAACATGCTTAAACAACGAGCTATACAATTTACTGTAAATACTACCACACGAGGAATCGTCGGTAGGGGCTGTCCACAAGGCGGCGTACTGTCACCACTATTGTGGAATATAGTCGTAAATGAACTCATAATAGAGCTCAACGATAACAGCCTCTACACGGTAGGTTATGCGGATGACATAGCTGTACTTTTAACAGGAAGCTTCGAAAGTACTCTGTGTGATCGCACGAGAGTAGCTTTTGACATAATTGAGAGATGGTGCGTACATCATGAACTCTCTGTTAATCCTACAAAAACAGAATTAATCATGTTCACAAATAGAAGAGTTACATGTCCTTACAGACTACCAAAACTCTTCAATACAGAACTGAAACTTAAGGAAGAAGTCAAGTATCTTGGCATAATACTAGACAGTAAATTGCTTTGGAATAAACATCTTGACTACAAACTTAACAAAAGCACAATTGCATTCTACCAGTGCAAAAAGATGCTAGGAAATAAATGGGGCCTTTCGCCAAAAATAACTCTATGGCTGTACAGGGCTGTAATCAGGCCAATGTTGGTCTATGGTGCACTAGTTTGGTGGCCGAGAACAAAACTATCGTCCACTGCCGCCAAACTAAAAAGCTTTCAGAGACTGGTTTGCTCCTCTGTCAGCGGCTGCATGAAAACAGCTCCTACAACAGCGATAGAGTTGGCCCTCAACATAACATCCCTAGACCTGCACATACAGCAGGAAGCGGCCTTAGCTGCTATCCGACTAATGCATCTGGATCTATGGGGTAAAAATCACTACAGTCCCCACACTGCTATTCTGAACCAGGCAATCGAATATCAACCTTTGATTGCGGCTTCGTGTGACAGGACTCATAATCATTATATATTTAACAAAAAATACCAAGTACAAATAAAAGAAGAGGAAAAGGACCAATCCGGTGTACATGAATTACGCATATACACCGATGGCTCCAAAACTGAGAACGGTTCAGGAGCTGGAGTCTTTTCCTTAGACCTTAATATAAACATGCACATACCGCTTGGCGACCACAGCTCAATTTTCCAATGCGAATGTGTTGCAATAACCGAGGCTGCTGCAGTTATACATAATCTAGGAATAAATGGTTATAGCATTAGATTCTTATCCGACAGCGCAGCAGTACTAAAAACATTACGAAACAACAAGACAAACAACAAACTAATCATTGAATGCCACCATTCACTGGATAGGATATCTTCCAATAACCGTATTATCCTCCAATGGATAAGAGGGCACAGTGGATCTTATGGTAACGATGCCGCAGACGAACTAGCTAGGAAAGGCTTAGGAACAAGGGTGGTAGGCCCGTATCCACTCCTTCCTCTTCCATTCTCACAACTTCGAATGTGGATTCGTCAAAGATCCTCTGACATACAAAACCAAAGATGGATACAGGCTACTGATTGCAGACAATCAAAATTGGCCGTACCTATGTTGAATCAACGACTATCAAAACGTTTATTACATCTAGACAGAAAAAACCTCAAAACAATGATAGGGACAATAACGGGTCATTGTCCATTAAACAAACATCTATACACAATAGGAGCCACAGACAGCCTATGTCGAGGCTGTTTCAACGCCGAAGAAACAGCTGCTCACGTAATCCTGGAATGTGAGGCTGTGGCCCATCAACGTTTAGAAATCCTCGGAACGGTGAGGTCGCTCCGTGAGGCCTGTGAAGAACCCAGGAAGCTTCTGCGCTTCTGGACGGAGCTAGGTTGGCTGCACTAGCCACGACTCATACGCACAATGGCCCAAATGAGAGGCTAAGTGCGGAAAATGGAGTCCCTTTCACATTCACATTCACATTCAAGCCATAAAGAAAGATGAGGTTGATAATACCTTAATATCTTCTCCTGTGGTATAGATATTGGAGCCGCACACATAGTTAACTAGTTTTTCCGGGTCAGTCTCAACTGGCAACACCTTCTTCTCCATTGTTGTAAGTTTACCAGCTTTTTTCTTTCCTTTTCCAAGACCCATAACACCTATAAAAAAATATTTATACTTATTTAAAGCACAATTAATTGTTGTAACTCTATATATATATATATATATATATATATATATATATATATATATATATATATATATATATATATATATATATATATATATATATATATACATAATTTATTGTTCTGTTAATTTATGACTCCTCAAATAACTGACATCAATTATAGAAAAACCAGTTATTTTGATTTCAAAATTAAACTACTGAACCAATTTTGATGAAACTCTTATGGGACCAATATATAAGATAAAGTTATGAGGTAAATAAACATAAAAAAATACAAGTAAATTGAAAACCTTTTTATATCAATTGAAAATATAATAATTTAGTCATTTTACAGACAATATACATTATAAGATACATTTAATTATATTGTTATAATAAATAAGTATTATAACCTATAACTATATACAAAATTAACCTCCGGCGGCTGAAGTTTTCTTTACAGCGGCAAAACAGATTCCCGATGTGTGTAGATTTGATTTTGGATATATAGTGTGACTTAATTGAAGGAAACTACGCATTACTGTTGTAGGATACATTATTATATATTAACAATACTTAATAAATTGAAATTTGTGATTAACTTATTTTGATCTTTATTTGATCAAAGATTGAAGATTATGAATGACAGGATAGACTAAACAAGCTCAGAATGATAGCTGACAGTTGACAGCTTATTTTTGCATTGGTTATAAATGGACAAAGATAAGGCATGGAAATTGCAAGCATTCTTAACTCCTTAACGTATGGATTTTAATTTTCAAATAAAACAAATCAAAAACGTAGTTTTATGTACATTATAAAAACAATATAGAATAAATTATAGCTATTCAGTATTTCCAAAAAAATATACGAAACCTATCTAAATGAAAAGTTCAAGAATTATCCGTAATCTATGGTCTGCACCTATGTAAAATGTCAGCTGTATTTTCAAGCTTTATGTTGACAGAAGCATTAGTAGTGTTGGTCGTCAGTAAATAGGTGGGTATTATCTTGTTTTTCTATTAATTTTAAGTTACCATTTTGAAATTCTCGTTTAAATACTTAACGCAGAAGGTTGAAAGTTGTATTTTCCAATATGTTGATCGTGTAGCATCAGTAATGGTGGTTGAATCAGATTTTATTTTCCTTAAATCCAATTTCCCCATGATTCATGTTTGTGGTTTTACGAATAAAATTTATCTCCGCTAGTTCTTATTTTATTACAACGTTTTGTATCAACGAATGAGTAGTATTGTGTGATCTGAAAGTTATAAAAAAATGTGGGATTTAAATGAAGATTATGAGCACTATTACGAGGTATGTATTCTATTGGTATTGTTATTTATTAAGGTCACAGAAATGTACAGTTTCTTAGTCATATGACTATTATACAGTATTGAATAATTAATTTTTAATCGACTTCAAAAAGAGTCACTTCACGTCCATGCAATCTTTTAAAAACGAACTAAAAAAAATGAAAGGATTTATTCTCGTTTTAGTCATATACTAATGTAGTTATTTATTATTTGTTTACATACATATCTCTCATTATTTATTTACTTAGTAATAAATCTATTGACATGATACATTATATTTTACTTATTTATCATGCACAATGAAATTACCTATAGCCATCTTTGTTTCGCATTTATCCCATTATGTGGGGTGGTGTAATTACCATCTTCAGATAGGACATGGCAACTACAGGAAACAAGAATGATTTCCTCTTCCACTGTTCACTGTTGGCCGTCACATGTGGACTTACTCCTCTTTTGTGCATGCTATCTTTCACACAGTCTATCTATCTTTCATTTATATTGCTATCGATGATTGTAAATTTCAATAAAAACTGTTCTTGACACTATTGCTGGAAATTGATTGCTTTATATATTATACATATATATAATTAGATTTTATTATTTATGATTTATTTTTTAGCAATTAGACAATGTCTATACATAATATAGGAAGTACTAAAAAAGTTATATAAAAAATTATACAAGAGCTATAGAAGTCAAAGCAATATATTTATTAATTTTTCTCTGTCTGTCGATTTGTTTTCACCTCATACAAAAAGTACTGCATGGAATTGGATTCAGTCTATATATTTGTGTTCCTAAAGATTAAACTTAAAATCCGGTTTATATTTTATCTCAATTTTCCATAGAAATATTGTCTATTTAGTTGTTATTTATATTAGTAAATTCCACATCAACAAAGTGTTGGTAAAATCTAATTATATATATATATATAATATAAATATATACTTGTATAAACAAAAAATGCCTGATATTATATTGTATTTTTTCTCATCATCTGATGATGAATATAAACAAAAAATACAATGTGAATCTCTGACTAGGTCACTAGATTATTATATAAACTCAGTGTAAGGTCAGAGGGTAGCCTTAAGTTTAAACTTTATTTTTATTTAAACTTTATTTAAAAAAAAAACTTCAATGATAACATAATTAGTGGATCAACATGGGAGTAAATATTATTGTTTGTAAAAAGAACTGTTTAAAGAATACAGATGAAGTGATAATCTTCTTTAGTTCATTAAAAATTAAACATAATACTTTACTGGTAAGGGAAAGAAGATTTTAATTGTTTAGTGTAAGGGTTGAATTTTGGACGGCACACAGAGAGATTGTCTGTGCCCTTGAGACTTGAGCTAAATTGGGAAACATAAATATCAGTAATACATTGTGGCATCTCTGTTTTTTAATTACCCTTTGTTCTTTTAGGTGTCTATGCCCATCTGACCATTTATCCATTGTATTAATATTGTTTATTGTAAGACACATATTGCAGTCTTTAAATGTCTTCTAAGAAATGGGTATATTTATTTATTCTTTACTTCTTTTTTATTGGTATGGTAATGGAATGGTAGTGAGGGATGACAGGTGAAAATGAAGCAGGTCAGTTAGCCCATTGTGATGAATTCCACTAGAATGAACCACAATGGTTTCCAGGGGGAACCATGTGGAGGTTGACCTGATAGGTTGTATTTTATTCTTTACAAACTGTCTCCTAAAGCTTTGCTTATGTGAATTCTTATTTTCATTGATATTCTTATGGGAGAGAAAGGAAGAGTAAGTAATGGGGTCTAAAAGACCCATTATTAACAATATAATAATATATAATAATTGTATAATAGTAGTTGTCTTTACATGGCTGTATTTCGGTTTGAAGGGTGAGATATGGTAGTAAATTTACAGGGTACAGAGGAATAACACCTGAGTCCTCAGGAATAACAGCGCATGGAGGGTATCATGGGCGAAACAGTATACTCTGTTATGTCCATGGTACTGCTCATGTCTACAGGTGACGGTTACCACTAGGTGGGCCAGCTTGTTTGCATCTATAGTTATTTAGATGCATTAAAAATACTTTTAATATATTCCCCTCGTGTTGTTGGTTAGATAGACTCGTTCATATTACACGTGTATACAGGCTACATAGCACTCTTTATCAGATTGTTTGTTTTGCCCAATCATCAGAAAATAAACATTCACATTAATAATGGTATTTCCGTCCTTAATATATTATACCAGAGTTATAATGAAAAAATATTTAGTTAGATGTCAGCTTCCTTTTTTTTTATACAACTTAGAATGGCACACAAGCTGACGGCCCACCTGATGGAAAGTGATAACCGTCGCTTATAGACATGAGCAGTACCATAGATATAACAAAGTATACTGTTTCACCAATGATACCCCCATGCGTTGCCATTCCTGAGGACTCAAATGTTATTCCTCTGTACCCAGTAAATTCTCGCCATATCCCACCCTTCAAACCGAAACACAGCCATGCAAACACAACTGCTTCACGGTTGCAACACGAATGGGACAGAGGTACCCAAGCAATCGACTTTTATACAAACTTTTCCCTATTTTGATGTTAAAGTCTTTTATATCTATGTAAATACATAATATAGAAATACAAAATCTGCGTAGAAACAGCAACCTTACCCATGACTCTGTTAATATTGACTATATCATCATCATCATCATCATCATATCAGCTTTTAATCGTCCACTGCTGAACATAAGCCTCCCCCTTGGGGGGTTCTGCCTGTAGTTGCCACGCATGGCAGGCGGATTGGCAACCGCAGTCAGGCTTAAGAGATGTTTAAGAGGGACGCTGCTGTCCATCCATCGCCTTCCCTTAATCGGTTCTTACGACATCCACGGGAAAGGAAGGGGTGGCCTATTCTATGCCGGGACCACACGACCAATATTGACTATATAATTAAATAAAAATTAACCCTTTGAGTGCCGACGAGTGCTATCGCGCTCGTGCGCATTGCAACTGAAAGTGCCACGAGGGTCATAGCGCTCGTGAAATCAGTCGCTGTGTAGCTTGCTGTAAAAAATATATTAAAATTGGATAATTTTTGGAGGAGATACAGTTTTTTTAGAGACAAGGGTAAATGACATCAACACGACAAAGATTTCTTTGGCATTTTTAAGCAGATATGAGTAAAAATCAATGGCACTAAAAGGGTTAAAGAAAGCTCTCTAAATTTTTTTTTTTTTTTTATACGACTTAGAATGGCAAACAAGCTGACGGCCCACCTGATGGAAAGTGGTAACCGTCGCCTATAGACATGAGCAGTACCATGGACATAACAGAGTATACTGTTTCGTCCATGATACCCCCTATGCGTTGCCATTCCTGAGGACTCAGGTGTTATTCCTCTGTACCCTGTAAATTCTCTAAATGAAATTGGTAACAAATGGATTAGTCGAATTTTATTCGTTTGTTTACTGTTTCGATTTTTTTTAATGTATGATAATGGAATGGTAACCCCGCCTGCGCTATCGGTCTACACTGGCGGGGCACCAGTGAGGTATGATAGGTGAGAGTGAAAAGGCAGGTCAATTAGCCCACCGTAAAGAATCTAACATTAAATCGAACACGATGGTTTCCAGGGAGAACCATGAGGAGGTCGACCTGATACAGTATATTGCTAGCAATGAGGCTACTAATTCCCTTTACTAACAATCGCTTCTCCCCCCTTACTTGCTTGCTTGTTTTCGTTGCCAATCTGCCCACCTGGGGGGAAAGGGATTGTTAGTAATGGAGATTGAGAATCTCATTGCTAGCAATATACCCAACCAGATCGACCTCCTCGCGGTTCTCCCTGGAAACTATTATGGTTAATTCCTGATGAATTCATCATGATGGGCTAACTGGCCTGTTTTCATTGTCATTTCATACCATTTTCACCCATCAAAAAAAAATCTGCCCGCCTAGCGTACCAGCTACTGCTGCACCCCCCCCCCCCCTCCTCCTCGCCCAAGAGACATATGTTCAGCAGTAAACGGTACGGCTGATATCAATGATATGTACTGTCGGTCGGTTTGATTTCCGAGAAATGTAGTTAGTATTTTTTAAGTATATATTGATATATGTATAAGTACTAAATAAATATTGGATTTCATGGAACTCTATCAAATGAGTTTAGTATGCTATACTGTACTGTCTCCAAGTATTAACTTGCTAGTATACGATGTGTCAACACTCCACTTTATCTTCAAGCCTTTATAACTAGGGATGTGCCGAATCCACATTTCTTGGAATTCGAGTTTTTTTTTTATGGTTGACAATGGAATGGTAACTCCACCCGCGCTATCGGTATACACCGGCGGGGCACCAGTGAAAGATGATAGGTGAGGATGAAGTAGGTCAGTTAGCCCATCGTGACGAATTCAACAAGAATTGTTCACGATGGTTTTCAGGGGGAACCACGTGGAGGTCGACCTGATAGGGAATATCGCTAGCAATGGGGCTGTCAAACTCCATTGCTAACAACCCCTTTCCCCCCTTGGGATTCGAGTATATTAATATGTACTCGTTATAATATAGAAATAATCAAACTCTGATTCGAGTCTGAGGACTTGGACAGATACACCATTGACTATTCGAGTATTTGATCAAACTAGAATAATTTTTAATTGATTTTTCAAATTTAATGAAAATAATGGGATCGATTTTAAGGCGCTATTTTTCTAAAGTTTTCTCTAAAATTTTATTTTTATATCGTAACCAAATATTTATTCTAAGGACATCAATATGAACTAAATTTCTAATCGAAATTGTTGTAAATCTAATTTGTGAACGTCCATAAAACAGTAGTTTCGCGAAATTATCAAAATTTTTTTTTGATGGAGTAAAAATGGTATGGTAACGGTAACTCCGCCTGTGCTAACGGGATACGCTGACGGAGCACCAGTGAAGGGTGATAGATGAGAATGAAAACAGGACAGCCCATCATGATGAATTCATCAGGAATTAACCATGATAGTTTCCAGGGGGAACCGCGAGGAGGTCCACCTGGTTGGGTATATTGCTAGCAATGGGATTCTCAGTCTCCATTACTAACAATCCTTTTCCCCGCAAAATATTAGGTTAAGAGGTAGGTTTCGAGAAATGACACTTGAGAATCGATCCAATTATTTATTTAGTAATTTTTTTTTATTTATTAATTAAAAAAAAGACTAAAACGATGAATCAGGAACATAAAACATACGATAAAAACGTATTCGAATTCTGTATATTGAATATTCGAGTTCCTGAGTACGCGAATGAGTTTTCGAGTTAGTACTTATGTCTGCTTGATTCGGGACATCACTATGTGTGGCGTGATATGGAACTAATATTTATTATTTAAAAAGCGGTGACAACTCTGTCGCTCGAAGCTTATGACGGCGCTCCAGATCCGGATGTCTGAGCACAAGATCGAGTCTCAGAAATTTTAAATAAACTTTGAGTCATTCATAACAGTTTAAAACTGAGCGCCTACCATGAAATGTTTTACGAAATTTCGGGGACGATCTAAATACAAATTTCACGTTAAAATTACACAATATATATACTGTTTAAAAATGTTAAAATATCGTTCCTTTAGATTTTTATGGTAGGATTTATGACAAACGAAACGTTGAGCTACATTTACTGGGTCGATTTTGGTATGACCAATAACACGGAATTAATTCTGAAAATTCAGAGTTTTATTTCATAGTAGATCTGTTTGTCAATTATTTTATTTATTTTATTTTATACAACTATTATAATATTTTTAATTTTTATTATAAGTCACAAATAATTTTTTTACAATTATTTGTGACAGTCCGCCGATGTTCAATAGCTGTACAAATAGGAAAGCGATCGATTGATTGTATATTTGGATTTGTTGTTAATTTAATTTAGAGAGTTATTCCGTGATTATTTTAACAAAACTCGCTTACCTTTTCTTTTTGTCACAGACCATCTTTAATTATATAATTACATAATGAATACGGCACGCGCGACACGTATTCCTACGCATTGCTACGCCGTGGTGGCTCGCCGCTGGTCAGCAGATATCGTCACGTATCATTCCTCAGTATTTAGACTGCTCCTTTACTTCATACTGGTCCTATGACACCGTTATACTATATATGATTACGTTGTTATTTTACACTAGCGGCCCGTCCCGGCTTTGCACGGGTGGACATTTTTACAATTTAAAAAGTGGCCATTAAGGCTGCACACGTGACTGAAGCTTAAAAATGGAGTAACTTCTCCCGTTTTCCCAACATTTCCCTTCACTGCTCTGCTCCTATTGATCGTAGCGTGATGAAAAGTATACTATAACCTGCCCAGGAGTATGAAGAATAATTGTACCAAGTTTTGTTAAAATCCGTCGAGTAGTTTTTGTTTCTATAATGAACAGACAGACAGATAGACTAAAATTTTACTGATTGCATTTTTGGCATCAGTATGGATCACTAATCACCCGCTGATAGTTATTTTGGAAATATATTTCATGTACAGAATTGACCTCTCTACAGATTTATTATAAGTATAGATAATATAAGTCTTCCAACAAGTTCCTCGGAACAAAGATTCTTTTTAAGCCACTGAGATGGTAAACAAGCATACGGCCCACCTGATGGTAAGCGGTTACCGTAGCCTATAGACGTCTGTAATACTATGGTTGTTACGCGCGCGTTACCGACCCTTGTTGGTGTTTTTTTTAGTGGGTGAAAATGGTATGGTAACCCCGTCTGTGCTATCGGTATACACTGGCGTGGCACTAGTGAGGGATGACTGATGAGGATGAAAGCAGCTTAGCCCATTCTGACGGATTCAACTAGAATTAGACAAGATGGTTTCCAGGGGGAACCACGTGGAGGTTGACCTAACAGGGTATAATGCTAGTAATGGGGCTATTTGACCTCATTACTAAAAATCTCTTTTCCCCAGGCGGGGTCACCATTATCACCAATTTAAAAAAATAGATATGCCACTAATGGAGAAGAATATAATATGTAAATTACTGTTATTCTAGGTCAATCGAAATATCCCTGTCACGGGTACGAAGTCGCAGGGAAAAAGCTAGTATTTATATATTTGTTAAGTCGAGGACTCACGTTGTGTTTGCATGGCTGTGTTTCGGTTTGAAGGGTTGGATATGGCGAGAATTTACTGGGTACAGAGGAATAACATCTAAGTCCTCAGGAATGGCTACGCATGGGGCGTATCGTGGGCGAAACAGTATACTCTGTTATGTCCATGTTACTGCTCATGTCTATAGTCGACGGTTACCACTTTCCATCAGCTGGGCCGTCAGCTTGTTGGCCATTCTAAGTTGTATAAAAAAAATTTTTGCACTCATCAAGGTAACCAATTAATCTACAACGAAATATAAATAGGTATATTATATATTATAATTTGATTACGTCACCCCTTAAGATTACGTTATCGCTACACAATTGGTAGGTATTATACATATATGTATATAATTGCGAAATAAATATGTATGTAGGTATACATTTGTATGAATCACTATTATATTCTGGTTATCATCATATCGTTAGCATTTTATATAACAGGTTAATCAATAGTTTTTTTTTTTTTTTTAATGAATGACAATGGAATGGTTTACGTTTGTTACATCTAGATAGAAAAAACCTCAAAATAATGATAGGGACAATAACGGGCCATTGTCCATTAAACTAACATTTATACACAATAGGAGCCACAGACAGCCCTCTATGTCGAGGCTGTTTCGACGCCGAAGAAAGGGCTGCTCACGTAAACTTGGAATGTGAGGCTGTGGCCCATCAACGTTTAGAAATCCTCGGAACGGTGAGGCCTGTGAAGATCCCAGGAAGCTTCTGCGCTTCTGGGCGGAGCTAGGTTGGTTGTACTAGCCACGACTCATACGCACAACGGCCCAAATGAGAGGCTAAGCACGGAAAATAGAGTTCTATTCACATTTCAATGGAATGGTGACCCCGCCCGCGTTAATGGTATACACTGGCGGGGCTCCAGTGAGGGATGATAGGTGAGGATGAAAGCAGGTCAATTAGTATCGTGATGAATACACCTGGATTTTATCGTGATGGTTTCCAAGGACTACTACGGAGAGGTCGACGTGGTTGGGTATATTGGGGATCCCCCCACGATTACGAGGTTTTTTTTTGATGGGTGAAAATGTTATGGTAACCCCGCCTGCGCTAACGGGATACGCTGGCGGGGCACCAGTGAAGGGTGATCGATGAGAATGAAAACAGACCAGTTAGCCCATCATGATGAATTCATCAGGAATTAATCATGATAGTTTCCAGGGGGAACCGCGAGGAGGTCGACCTGGTTGGGTATATTGCTAGCAATGGGATTTTCTGTAGCCTGTTTTCATTCTCATCTATCACCCTTCACTGGTGCTCCGCCTGCGTATCCCGGTAGCGCAGGCGGGGTTACCATACCATTTTCACCCATCGAAAAAAAAACCCGCGGTTTACAAAACAATGCTGACTCATCAAATTTTATTTGCAGGAGTATCATCACCACGCCGATATTGAAGTGAAAGACTACACCATGGAGGTGGTGGTGATAGTGGCATCAGTGGTGGGGATTGTCATTTTAATACTGTTGCTGTGCAAATGTTGTAATCGGAGCAGATACAGGGGGCAAGTTATAGCGCGTGAGTACCTTCCCAAATTGATATATATATATATATATATATATATATATATATATATATATATATATATATATATATATATATATATATATATATCGACGGTTGAAAGGCAAAATTGACTAAGCGACAAAAATACCTAAACTGAGTTTTATATACCATTCGAATCGCCTGATTTTTCTGCGTCGATTGGTCTAGGTTTTAAAATTCTACGATAATTTTTTTGTCGGTTAAGTACTGCGTGATTTTAGCCAAATTTACAATTTTATGTTTACTTAGCGACAAAAAAAATGTCATTTAAAGAATATTTGCTACTTACGCCATTTTAAAAGTTGAAATATGGATTTGTTTAATTTTTCATATCTTTGCTTTCACTTTTATTTGCAATTAGGAATTTTTACTTGTTATGAAATTTAGTTTTTATCTGATTTAGTATATTGTACCTATTTAAAAAAAATATAAATAATTTGGTTATGTAATTTTACCTGATGTAATATTTTGTGATATTGCAATTTATATAATTTAACTAAAAATAAAATTAAAGTAAATTATACCTTAGATATTTTTACCTGTATAAAAATATGTTTTCTTTTAGCGGTATATATTTTTACTGCATATATTTGACTCGTTGAAATGAGTACAAATGGCGCTTAGATAAATTTACCAGTACGCGAAATACAAATATTATATTTGGCAAATAGAAAATGTGTATGTGTTTATTACCATTGACATTACAAGCACGATAATAGATAACACGGCATCAACTACACAGGTGGCATTTCCTGGCACTACTATTGTATCAATTGATCATGATTATAATATCATAACGTTAAATAAATCTGATAACTCTGCATCAAATATATATAATTACGAAAATGAGAAAAACTCACGTTCTTTAACATCAGACCATGATGTACCATCTACATCGACTGGTTTGAGTAAAGAATCCAATGAATTAAATCCAATTAAATATAAAAGAATACCTAAGAAAGATGTTAGTGATATTGATTATATGTCAGATCAAGAAGACTTTTCCATATTTTATGGCAGAAATGATTCAGATAATTGGTCAAAAGGAGAAAAAGTAACCTCTGAAGATGATAATAATATACAATGAAATAGAAAAAAAAAATAAAAAAAAATAGAAAAAGAAAAATAAAAAGAAGTAAAAAGTATTAAAAAAATAACTCTAAAACTAACGATGGTAGTCCTGATAACCAAGAACTAGAAATTATCGGAGAATCTGCGTCCAAAGCTAAAAAATTAAACCTAAGAAAAGAACGAACTAAAAATATAAAATCTGGTAAAGAATATATTACAAAGACTGGTATAGTTAAAACAGCGCCTAATCCTTGCTCTGGCACAAAATGTGGTAATAACTGTGGTTCTCTATCTGAAGTAAGAAGAGGAAATTTTTCAATGATTTTTGGGATCTTGACCAAACACGTCGCCGTGATTGGTTAGTATCTATGTCAAAAAAGGATTCATCAAACGTAAATGTACAGACACTGATAAGCGCAACTACACTATTAAATATTTTATTAACAAAGGCGAAGGTAAAAAGTATGTTTGTCAACAATTTTTAGTAGCTACTCTGAACATTTCTGATAGAACAATTTACAATATTGTAAAAAATTCTACTTTTGGATGCACGAAAGAAGATATGAGAGGGATATCTGAACCCAGAAATATGTGAAACCCCTTTGGCCACAACAGAATATCAGTGCTTTGCTCTTTTGAGGGCAAAGCAATAAACTGAGTTGTGACCATTTTGTATTGTTACGGCACACGCACAAAAGGAAAAATTGTACTTGGCTTTATGTATTTTTTTAATAATTTCTCTTATCTCGCTTTTTATAATTTATGTGCTTGTAAGTAACACAAATAAATTATATGTCTAACAAATAGAACTAAAAAAAAAACTACTATAGATGTTGTTAAGAGATTTATCCAAAAATTACCACCTCTTGTATTATAGTAGAAAACTGGCAGTATACAATATTTGCTTTTATGAAAATGGAACTCGTAATGTTTTCTGTTACTATTGGGATGAAACTAATGGCAAACGAGGATCAAATAAGATTGTATCAATACTGAACAAATATATTAAATCTGTAGACACCAGAGGAAATATCAAGCAATTACTTTTATATTGTGACTGTTGTCCCGGTCAAAATCGTAATCGTACTGTATTAGCAATGTTGCATTCATCACTACAGGAGTATGAAAATATTAATACTATTAAAATAAATTTTCTCTTGACTGGTCATACTTATATACCCGCAGATACAGTACATGCAGTGATTGAATATAGATTAAAGAATACAATTGTTTACGCACCATCTCAATGGTTTACAATTTTTGCATATTAATAATGTAACTGAAAAAATAAGTAAGATTTATATTATGACTTTCAAAGAAGGATAAGCAAAACGTTAAATATAAAATATTCGTGAACACTAACGCTTCTTTTGATACTGAAATTCAATTTAAAACCAAGATATCTCTTTTATCTTGTTATCGATCGCAGCTTCCAATATCAAAAGCCAAATATGATGATCTAGTCAAATTTTTCACAGACAATATTATTCCTAATTGCTTTGTTAGCTTTCCACGTGCAATAAATATCAAAGATACTCTAAATTAATCAGACATTAAAGATTGTGATTTTAATAATAATTAATTAAATTAATTATAATAAAAAAACCAGATAACCTATTATAACTCTAACAAACATTTATTATTTTTAATAGACGAAAATTAAAGACAGGTTTTAGATAACTTATATAAAAGCAAAATTAGTCTTCTTATATTATGAATATTTTTGTTAATTTTATAGTATTATTTATTATCATTATTATATTATAAATAATTAATAATAATTAGTTTAAAGTCAGTTTGGGATAATTTTAGGAAAATGTATTAACTAAAGATACATATTCTGCTAACACAACAATCATACAAGAACTTACCTAGACAATTTTACTTGATTTTGTTCAATCTAATATACGTCTTTATATAATTGTACTTGTTAGGAGATTTAGATGCATCAGGATAACGATATTTTTACTCGTTTCTGTTAACTTTTTAGGTAAATTTATATAATTTTACCTGTAACCAAATCTAGGTATTTTTTATCTAACCGACATAAAATACTTCAAATTTTAGTCTGGGATAACTTTCTTTGATATCAAAAAATAACAAAAAATATATGCTTTCCGTAACTGTCAAAATTATTTCGATATGTCAATCAGGACAATAGTTATGATTTTTTTTTTTCAAAAATTTCAACTTTAAACCGCTCTCCTGTAAAGTTTATTAAATGTCGCTTAGTTAAGGTTGCCTTTCAACCGTCGATATATATATATATATATATATATATATATATATATATATATATATATATATATTTTAATGGATGATAATGGAGTGGTAGCCCCATTCGCGCTATCGGTATACACCGGCGGAGCAACAGTGGGAGATGATAGATGAGGATGAAAGCAGGTCAGTTAGTCCATCGTGACGAATTCCACTAGAATTAACCACGATGGTTTCCAGTGGGAATCACGTGAAGGTCGACCTGACAGGGTATATAGCTAGTAATGGGGCTATTTGACCCTATTATTAACAATCCCCTCCCCCTCCCTTTATGGGGTAGGCCTATGTATAGCAGTGGACAGTTGACGGATGATGTAATGATGATGAAAATAGCTGCCTTGTAACAGAAACACGGATGAGGCAGAGGCACTCATGCAGACTACTTTTGTACAATTATTTTTTATTATTATTGTATATAAAATTAGCCGTATCTCGCGGCTCCGCTCGCGTAAATTAGTATATAAAGTATTTTACGTTCTAAATTTTTTTTGATGAATGACAATGGCACGGTAACCCCGTCTGCACAATCGGTATACACTGGCAGAGCACCAGTGAGAGATGATAGGTGAGGATGAAGGCAGGTCAGTTAGACCATCGTGACAAATATAACAATAAATTGATCACTATGTTTTCAGGGGGAACCACGAGGAGGTCGACCTGATATAGTACATTGCTAGCAATGAGGCTACTAATCCCCATTACTAACAATCCCTTCTCCCCCAATTCTAAGTGCTAAGTTGAAAAAATTTGAATAAAATTTGGCACACTGAGGATCAGTGTGCCAAATTTTATTCAAATTTTTTCAAGTAGTTTTTGCGTGAAAGAGTAACAAATCTTAACATCCTTCCATCGGGGGGGAAAGGGATTGTTAGTAATGGAGACTAAGAATCCTATTGTTAGCAATATACTCAACTAGGTCGACCTCCTCGCGGTTCCCCCTGGAAACTATCATGGTTAATTCCTGATAAATTCATCATGATGGGCTAACTGGCCTGTTTTCATCCTCATCGATCACCCTTCACTGGTGGGGCCAGCGTATTCCGTTCGCGCAGGCGGGGTTACCATACCATTTTCAACCAATAAAAAAAAACATCCATCGTCACAAAGTTTCGCCTTTATGATATTAATAGTATTTTATGTTTGTAGCGCCAGCGGTCACCACCACACAGTCCACAGTGACAGTACAAGCTCCGTACCCACAACAGCAGTACGTTGTGCAGTCTTATCCAGGTAACATAATTGTCCATACTAGTAATCTTTTTTTTTTTATACAACTTAGAATGGCAAACAAGCTGACGGCCTACCTGATGGAGAGTGGTAAGCGTCGCCTATAGACATGAGCAGTACCATGCACATAACAAAATATACTATTTCGCCCATGATACCCCCCATGCGCTGCCATTTCTGAGGACTCGGGTGTTATTCCTCTGTACCCAGTAAATTCACGCCATATCCCACCCTTCAAACCGAAACAAGTATCTAAGAGTACCGCTTTCTGCATCTTTCCCGGGAGTTAGCTGCCTTGGAATCCCAACCTTCTGAGGTGTTGTTCTAGACTGGTTGGTATAAGGCCGTTTACTGACAGATTATTATAATTTTGAGTATTATTTGTGCATGCCGCAGCGCCGGCGCCGTACCCGCCGCCGGCGCCGCACGCGGCGCTGCCGGCGCCGGCCGCGCCCTACCCGACGGCGGCGCCCTACCCCACCGCGGCGCCGTACCCGCACCCGATGCCCGTTGTTCCTAACGCACCTGACGCTAACGGTGAGTTATATTCCTTATTTCTATTCCATACTGTTATTTCCTATAGTTTCATGGTATATTTTGACCTATCCTATTTTATTATATCCTATCCTATTTCATTCTATCCTATCCTACTTCATTCTATCCTATCCTACTTCATTCTATCCTATCCTATTTCATTCTAGCCTATCCTATTTCATTCTAGCCTATCCTATTTCATTCTAGCCTGTCCTATTTCATTCTAGCCTATCCTATTTCATTCTATCCTATCCTATTTTATCTGGGGGAAAGTGATTGTTAATAATGAGATTTAACAGTCCTATTGCTAGCAATACGCCCCTATCAGGTCGACCTCCACACGGATTCCCCTGGAAACCATAGTGGTTAATTCTTGTTCAATTGGTCACTGTGGGCCAATTGACCTGCCTTCGTCCTCACCTGTCACCCTTCACTGGTGCCCCGTCAGCGTATACCAATACCGCAGGCGGGGTTACCATTCCATCTTTACCCATTAAAAAAGCTTATTTCATCCTATCATATTCCAGGCTATCCTGTTTTATCCTATCCTATACTACCCCTTTCTATTTTCCAGCGTATCCCGTTAGTGCAGGCGGGGTTACCATTCCATTCACCCCTTTCTATTGAATCTTGTTCTATTTTATTCTGTTGTCCTCTGCTAAATATCTGCCTGTCAGAAGGAAGGACTCGTATAACAGTAACTGGGGCTCGCAGTGACTCAGTCAGTGCGCAACATTGTTTCTTATCTATATCGACGTATATTAAACGGACAAGTACATAATTGCACACATATAACGAAAGTGATTGTCTGGTACATTTTATTAGAAGTACTATCTTACCATCACGACCACTCCCTCACGGGGCAGGCAGAGGGAACTGGGTGTTGTAAAGTCTTACGAGTACATATCTTGCATTCTGCACTTTCATATCTCGTCTCATGCTTGCAAGACTGACAACTGACAACTCAAGACTGACAACTGACAACTTTTGTCGGGTTGTGTTTTCGTAATTTTGAAGTAAGAAATTGTTGGAGAAAAAATAAAGTGGATTTGGAGATATCTGGGTAATGTTTTTTTAGGAATACTTACAAACACTTTTTTTATGTAACTTATAATGGCAAATAAGCTGACGGCTCTTCTATTGGAAAGTGGTAACTATTACATTTGGGTAGTAATTCTACCCAAATGGTAGAATTTAAATTTACTTCTGGCAACCCGGTCTATTTATTTCTTTACTTATTGAACACATATTACAAAATAAAAAAAAATGGTATATAAATAATACATTGTATTTGTCATGGGTTCCCGGCATAGAATGGGTCATCTCTTCTTTTCCCTTGGTTGACGTAAGTTGCCACGTTTGACAGGCGGGTTGGCAACCGTTGTTTTGATTTTGTTAATGTTTTAAGAAGGACGCTGTTGCCTATCCCTCGATCATAGACTCCTTTAGTCGCCTCTTACGACACCCGAGGGAGGGTGACTTTTTACCAGAGGGAGACTGTACAAAAGTCGATTGCTTGGGTACCTCTGTCTCATTCGTGTTTCAACCGTGAAACAGTTGTGTTTGCATGGCTGTGTTTCGGTTTGAAGGGTGGAATATGGCGTGAATTTACTGGGTACAGAGGAATAACACCTGAGTCCTCAGGATTGGCAACGCATGGGGGGTATCATGGGCGAAACAGTATACTCTGTTATGTCCACGGTACTGCTCATGTCTATAGGCGACGGTTACCACTTTCCATCAGATGGGCCGTCAGCTTGTTTGCCGTTCTAAGTTGTATAAAAAAAACCCCACGGTAATGGAAGAGGTGGTCCATCCTATGCCGGGACCACGCAGACATACTCGTAATATCATGATATAATAAAATATCAATTACTTTTTGTAATTAAAAAATCTAAATCTATGTCAATATAATTATATTATGAATAAAAAGTTATATTTTTTTTTTATTTTTAACACGCTAGCATTTTATGGGATACCTCCGCCGGGCTGGAATACTCAAGGTATTGAATTAGATGTTTGAATGTTTTAGGAAAGTATTGGTATTCGTTGGAATACTATGTATTCCGTCTCCTTATAAATATCTATATTTTCCATTTGGCAAAAAGGTATAGAAAGTTATATGTGATTTATATTGGCAAACAAGCTGATGAACCTCCTAATGGAGAGTGGTAACCACCGTCTATACACATGTATAGTACTATGGGCATCACACAGTATATATAGGTCATCACAGTGTATTCTATTTTTGTTTTGTTGTCTTTCAAACCTCGGCAGGTGACGCCCATTCCATAACCTGAGTGTTTGTGGGAGAAAACGTCACAGTGTATTTATCGCGACCATTTATTTGTATGTGTGTATATATATATATATATATATATATATATATATATATATATATATATATAATGACATAAACACATGTTATTCCTTGTACTCTGTAATTTATAATGTATTTATAATTTATTTTTTTACTAACTAAGCCAGCAAACATTGTTTTAGCCCCTACCGCCATCATAATTAAGCCAGCAGATCAGCACGAATGAACATCGTGACATGCGATTTTTATATATTAAGATTCACAATTATGTATATAATTCATTCATTCATTCATTTATCATTCCAGCCCATCCACCGTCGTACGAGGATGTAATGGGAGGCGTCGCGTCGTCGACACCGTCCGCTCCCAACGTGAAACAACCGCCATACAACCCCTACCTGTCGCATTAGTCGCGCGACAGCGGTGCTTGTAAGTTGGACCACGTTAAACGAATATGGACTTTATCTTAATAGATATAAGTCACAGCGTGCTACGAGCATGTAAATATAGATAAGTTTTAAAATTTATTTTTTGAAATAATACAAGACTAAGAGTTTTTTCTAATTAGGCTGGTAGCACACTGATGGAGTCTTAATTATGAAATCAGATTTTATTTCATACACAATTTGTATTAAAAATGTGTACTATTTATATTATATAATATACTTTTCGAGCGGAAATCTGAAATTCATTAATATTTCGTTAGTGTGCAACCAGATTTATTGTACAGAACAAAATATACATGGGAACGCTGTATGTACCATAGAGTAGTTAGCTATTTAAATATTAGATATTTGAATGAAACCAAAACGTTATACATATACATAATTCGTAACATTGTATGATACGATGTTTTATGAAATCCTAATGCGTTATAGTTAATGGTTTATATTGTAATTAGCACTTTTTAGGTAGAATTTTTCAACAATTTGCGACTGATTTGACGTCTCGTACCACGGTGCGTAGTCGTCTACAGAGAGTTTTCTTAATATCTTTAATTGCATTTAAATTTCTAACTAGATGACAATATTTTAAGTTTAATAAAAATAAATAAAGGTGCTTTAAAGAAGCGCTTTTCGCCAATCGGGAGGTCAAGCTCATTTCCCGCCATATTTAACGTCAGAGCTGTCAAAATGACAAATTATTAAACTTCGTTAATTTTGAAAATTGAATAAAAACGAAGGAAAATTATAATATTAGTAATAACACACATTTTATTTATTTATTTTTGATTACAAGACAGATAAGAAAATTAATTTTTTTTAATAAGCATTAAACTTATAATATTGTCTTGACCTCCTTTTTTCTTTAAAAATATTTTTGTAAATACATTTTCGGTTTAATACGAATTTGAATCTAAAATACATAAGTTTCTTGAGTTCACTTTGGACTGGTTTCTATGGGTATATTGTGTATTGATATTTTTTTTAATTAATTCAATTTCGCCTATAAGTACAGATTGCAAGAGATTATTTTCTTATGATTTTTTTTTTATGTATTCTAATTTTTGTGGATATTTTAATTAATATTTTTTTTATTAAGGGAATGTAATTTAATTAAAATTATTTTTAATATTCAATTTATATTCCGAATTTATATTAGGTTTTAGAATTAATTACGATCGACAACGACATGATTTCCCCAAAATGCATTTATACCGAGGTGTAGAATCGACGTAGATATCTTTATCAATTTTCAATATTAATTTTTAATAACAATTGAACAATTTTCAATAATAACTGAACAATTTTTAATAAAAACTGAACAATTTTCAATAATAATTGAACAATTATCAATAAAAATTGAACAATTTTCAATAACGACTGAATAATTTTCAATAAAAATTGAGCAATTTTTAATAACAACTGAACAATTTTCAACATCACTGATTCAGTATTTAAAAGTACTTTGTTAGTGAACAAAAAGGTTAATTCCATTAATTTAATAAAAAATGAAAGCTTGTACCGATGGATGGATAAATAGATAGATAGATGTTTGTTACTTTTTCACGCAAAAACTACTGAACGAATATGAATGGTAATATAGGGTACACGGGCAGGTTTTTTTTTTAATGCATGATTAATGGAATGGTAACCCCGCCTGCGCTAACGATATACGCTGGATATATGATAGGTGAATAATGAAAAAAGCAGGTCAGTCATCCCATCGTGATGAATACACCTGGAACTCAGCACGATGGTTTCCAGGGGGTACCGCGTGAAGGTCGACCTGACAAGCTATATTGCTAGCAATGGGATGGGTAGCCCGCATTACTAACGATCCCTTCTACGGTAACTGCTTACCATCAGGCCGGCCGTATACTTGTTTGCCACCTCAGTGGTGTAGAATGGAATACATTATTTTCTTTGAATACAATTACATTAAACAACATAAAGAATAATTGATAATTAATATTTGATCAAATTTTCCTCGTTGTTTAGAGTTTCCATAAATCATGGCTATGATGAGATATCCTGATTGAAACGAAATACCTGTTCGGGAGTCAAGTAAATATACTTCATCTACGCATCAAGCCATTATAGAAATAAGTAGATTACAAATAACAGCAGGATATTATAATAATAATGCGATTTGTTAGTCAAGTGGTACGATATTGTAAATACCTAAGTCAAGTTCGACTTCCAGCAGCAGTATTTCCGAACCGATACGACATCGTAACCTTCAAGAAAAGAGCATATTCCTTTTTAAAAGGCCGGCAGCACACCTGCAATGCCTTAGGTGTTGTGGGTGACCATGGGCGGCGGTAGTCACTTACCATCAGGTGAGCCGCATGCTCGTTTGCCCCCTGTGTTGTAAAATACTTTGTTTACCTATTTAGTTCTTACAATAACTTGGAAATTAAGTGGAATATCAAAATATTGTATTTTCCCTCCATAATAATAGTGATGACATATATATATACAGGGTGTAAGAGACAAGTTAACAATTACATAAGTGTTTTTTTTTTTCAATAGTAAAAAAAAAATTGTTCTTGAAAATTGACACTATATATATAATGCAAACACTTCGGTATGAATGCTTCTAAATCTTTCCTAGATAGATAAGGGTAACAGAGGTAAATATGTATTTTATAATATATATATATTTTTTTTTTTTGATGGTTTAAAATGGTATGGTAACCCCGCCTGCGCAGGGGGAAAAGGGATTGTTAGCAATGGAGTTTGACAGCCCTATTGCTAGCAGTATGCCCCATTAGGTCGACCTCCACGTGGCTCCCTCTGGAAACCAACAATTCGTGAACAATTCTTGTTGAATTCGTCACGATGGGCTAACTTCACCTATCATCCTTCACTGGTGCCCTGCCGGTGTATACCGATAGCGCGGATGGGGTTACTATTTCATTATCACTCCTAAAAAAAAACCCCGCCTGCTCTAACGGGATACGCTGGCGGAGCATCAGTGAAGGGTGATAGATGAGAATGAAAACAGGCCAGTTAGCCCATCGTGATGAATTCATCAGGAATTAACCATGATAGTTTCCAGGGGGAACCGCAAAGAGATCGACCTGGCTGGGTAAATTGCTATCAATAGGATTATCAGTCTCTATTATTAACAATCCCTTTCCCCTCTTTATAATATATTGATTATAGGGCTGTAATTTTTTATTTTGTGTTAAGGTCAACATTTAATCATTAATGTGAACAAAAAATAAGTCTATTTAAAAAAATGTATGTAAAAATGTATAATATATGTATATATGTATCTATTCAACTGGCCAGCATAGTAATATGAAAGTACTTTTTTATTAGGTGATAGTGTAATGGTAACTCCGCCTGCGTTAACGGTATACGCTGACGTGGCACCAGTGAGGGGTGATAGGTGAGAATGAAAAGGCAGGTCAGTTAGCCCATCGTGATGAATACACCTGGAATTCAGCACGATGATTGTCAGGGGGGACCACGTGGAAGTCGACCTGATAGGGTATATTGTTAACAACTGGGATTGATAGTCCGCATTACTGATAATACCTTCCCCTTATTTCAGAGTACTTACTACGCTGGCCAGTTGACATATCATAGGATATATTGCATGCAAGTCATGGTCATTACCAGAGGGAGACTTTGTACAAAAGTCGATTGCTTGGGTACCTCTGTCCCATTCGTATTTCAACCGTGAAGCACTTGTGTTTGCATGGCTGTGTTTCGGTTTGTAGGGTGGGATATGGCGTGAACTTACTGGACACAAAGGAATAGCTGAGTCCTCAGGAATGGCAACGCATGGGGGGTATCATGGGCGAAACAGTATACTCTGTTATGTCCATGGTACTGCTCATGTGTATAGGCAACGGTTACCATTTTCCATCAGGTGGGCCGTCAGCTTGTTTGCCATTCTAAGTTGTATAAAAAAAAAAATGTTTACTCCGTCAATACATGGTTAATTTATATTTAACGTATATACCATAGAGTTCCTTTGAACTATTTATAACTTTATTCTTTATGATCTATGCGTATTTGTTTTGCATTTTTTTAAAAAATATTTCTATCTATTATTTTGTATACGTAAATATAAGATTTAGTCGTATTGTCATTTCGCCAAAGACTGGTTGTATTGTACCCAGTAATAAAGAAATGTCTTTGTAATTATAACCAATTTTTTCTCTATAAATCCACTGCCTGTTTATTTTATATTCAAACAAATCTTAGCATCACTTTAATAAACTTTTTTGTTTTTTTTGTTTTTATGCACTTTTATTTTGATAAAAAACATGCCAAGATCATTTGTTAATGCCAAATAAAAAAGATGGTACCTGAAAGTAGTTTTGACAGTCATTTTTTTTTTCTAAACTGGGTACTGTTACAGTAATGTCTGTTTAAATTGAATAAATGGGGGAGACAATAATGCGAATGTGAAAGCACTGTGAGATTTACATCGTTAGAAAAATTTAAGTGTATGTTTAAATTAGTGTTGGCAGAAAAATGTAAAACATTTGCAAAGTTTAGGCTGTATGTAACAGATGTCTGCGCTTATTTTTTTTTTCTTAGGTATTTTAAATGTGTAAACTACGTAAGTTTTAGCGGGAAATTATAAAGTGATTTTTGAATTTACAATGTAAAGAATAAAAAATGTATTTAAAATATTTTATATTAATAAAAAAAAATAAAAAAAAACACCTGTATGACCCTATTTACTTTGTCTATTGTGAGATATTAAAAATACATTACTAAGGTGCAGCAAACGTTGTAAATACGTATCTCAGATAATTTATATAGCAAAAAAAAAAAAAGAAATTTCTGGACAGTTTATAAGAAATGCTCAGATTAAATGAAAGATCGCTCATTTTAAACTAGAAATCAATTTTAAAATATTTACAATTTTGTCGTACTATTCACTTTTCAACGTTTAAAAATAACAAAGCATTGGCTCAATACCGCGTACAAAAATATTATTCTGTTATATATAATAGGTAGTTATTTATATCTTGTTGTTTGTTATTAAATCTTCCCGATATTTACAATTTCATATGTGTATTTGGAATTAATTTGTCTATCCAATGTAGTATTTTAATATAATAATATAAAAATGTCCGAAATGTGACGAATGAATATCCATAGACACGTTTCCAATGCTGTACGCTTGAGATGGAACGAGACGGCAACATTCGGCGTCTTGTTCTATCGCGTACGCACGAACAGGTGCGTAGTTACGAAAACGAATCTATGGATATATTAATTTATCAGATTTTCAAATTCATATTTGTTTACATTTTCTTATTTTAATTTAAAAACAAGTATGCGATTTCGACTTTGTCGTAAAATTTTGAAACAATATCAGTTGATTGCTTTATTGTTAAAAATTTCTTAAGTATATACCTACATATTATGTTTTAATGAAATAACCACCGGTTTAATTTACATTTAATTTCGTCGAGAAATCTCGATTAGTTTCCGGACTAAGGGTCCGGGCTGGTCCCAAAACTAGCGGAGCTTTGAAATTAAACGCAAGTTAAAATGATAGTTATTGCATTAATATATAGTTGACCAATTATTTGTAATTTCTCTATGTAGTTGGTTTTTTTGCCGCGTTTTTTTCTTGTATATGTACTTAATATAATATTAAACTGAATAGCTTATATATAGCTTTATACATCTTTGTACATAACCTTTATTGTCTTGTAACAAAATGCAAGACTTATATTCCATCGTTTCTCCCTTAGCGCCGTTACCACTATCCCTTAAAATATTTATTGATGAAAAATGTGATAATTGTTTAATATTATTTTTGATATAATAGCTTATAATGTATTCCAATTTTTTACATTATTTATATAATATAGATATATGTCAAATACAGTCAAAATGTATGAATGTAAATTCGCGCGCATTCTTCCAAGATGGCTGCGTTGGCGCCAAATTTACGAGTATGTTACGTTCGGAAATCAGTGCTCCTACAGATTTAATTCAACCGTAGTAAGAAATATATCTGTACATTAAACTAAATGAATGTATGTCATGGTATAATTACAAATTACATTTAAAGATTTTTTACGAAATATAAAATTGTTCAATAATGCTGTTTTATTGCTTCACCTATTTCTTTTATGGCAACTTCGAATGCCAAACTGCTGTAAAGTTGTAACTGTCATCTATCTGTGGGTATAAGTACCATATCTATATATATTTAGTTACAATATCTTTATATTGGCCCAATAAAAAAATGTGTTAAATGTCTGTTAAATAACATTTAATGTCGAAATGAAGAACCCGGTTGAAATTAATATAGATATAGAACGGTACGGGCGATATTGAAATAGGTGATGACCTTTTTTCCGCCATCAATAAGCAAAAGAACCATATATATAGTTTTTTTTTTTTTTTTGATGGGTGAAAATGGTATGGTAACCCCGCCTGCGCTAACGGGATACGCTGGCGGAGCACCAGTGAAGGGTGATAGATGAGAATGAAAACAGGCCAGTTAGCCCATCATGATGAATTCATCAGGAATTAACCATGATAGTTTCCAGGGAGAACCGCGAGGAAGTTGACCTATTTGGGTATATTGCTAGCAATAGGATTCTCAGTTTCCATTACTAACAATCCCTTTCCCCCCCCCCCCTATATATAGATATTGGAGTAGTACCAATATTATTATACCTCTGCTTATACATATAAATAGGAGCAATTAGCGATGATAGGCGACGATAAAGTCAGCTCAGTCGGTCCATCATTTTATCAGTATTCTATATATTTACACATAAAATGTATCTTGACGTATTACTTAATAAATGAAATGATTGTTTACGCATTAAAAAGGTGCAGAATTTATAAGACAAAATAAATATAGAAGTTATAAAGCAATCACTCATTCATAACGCAAAATTATATAAAAAATTTGACCTGTTTTTCTCAAAACATTTGTACGGAGACACGCTAGCTATATAATGTAGTTATATCTCTATCTATATAGTGTATAAGTATAGTTGGTTATCTAAGTGGTTATCTAGGTTGGTTGGTTATCTAAGTGTAGCTGGTTACCATCACCGTTGCAACCTTAGATTATAAAGTATGTATATACTTTATACTAAGTCTATGGTGTCAGCAAAACAATCACCTATGTACGTATTTATGTTATGTTTATACATTCATAAATTATGTGCTTGTAATCGTACGTAAAACCTATTATGGTACAACCTACTGTCACTACTTTCTTTTTAGTGGGTGATAATGTAATGGTAACCCCACCCGCGCTATCGGTATACACCGGCGGGGCACCAGTGAAGGATGATAGTTGAGGATGAAGTAGGTCAGTTAGCCCATCGTGACGAATTCAACAAGAATTGTTCACGATGGTTTCCAGGGGGGACCACGTGGAGGTCGACCTAATAAGGCATATTGCTAGCAATGGGGCTGTCAAACACCATTGCTAACAATTCCTTTCCCCCCACTGTCACTACTACCAACATAATAGAACGACTAATCCAGGCAACTCGTGGGCATCCACCCGCTCGTTATAGGTAATAGACATTGGCGCCCTCTACAGTAGTAGTACATGAGCACCTCTGTAACAACGTAGTATTACAGGTGGCTCTTTAGCCACAGAATAGAGCCCACTGACGGCTGACTGAATAAATTACTGGCAGGTTGTACTATGTTGTAAAACAACGGGCGGCGTCAATACAAATATTTCCTTAGGTTATTTCACATTATCCTCATAATTTGCTCATTATTTAATTATACATTAAGGAAAAAACCACATTTCTGTATTACGATAGACTAGGGTGACAGTATTTTGAGGATTTGTGATTTTTTTACTTAGGAAGAAATTCTCACCAACTTGGCGTTTTAGTGATTCAACCGAACGTCATGAAATTTTGTATACATTTTTAGGATGTACACATATTTAGGATGGAAAAGTATATAGGCTATTTTTTGCCTCGATCACGCGGGCAAAATCTTTCAGTGAAATAAATGGAAGAAAGGAAATCGTTTGCGATATGTATCTCTCTTTTTTTTAAGTTACCTAGTTGTTAAGTTACCTACACATGCCAAAACGAGCACCGACTAATAATTTTGTCATGTCTGTTTGTACATTTGCTCGTCTATCTGTATGTGATAGCATCTTCTAAGTTTTGCAGATTTAGAACAGCACGTAGCCATACTACATTTGTGATTATACTCATTTATATTAATTTGATGTTTATTATTTAATAATCATCTTTGGAATCAATCTCCAGCAGCAGTATTTCCGAACCGATACGACAACATAACCTTCAAGAAAAGAGCATATTCCTTTTTAAAAGGCCGGCAGCACGCCTGCAATGCCGCTGGTGTTGTGGGTGATCATGGGCGGCGGTAGTCACTTACCATCACGTGAGCCGCATGCTCGTTCGCCCCCTGCGTTGTAAAAAAAACAAATATTTTTAAATCCATGTATGCAACATAGGGAGGAATAGCATTGTTAGTAATGTGGCTAGGGGACTCATTGGCAATATACCTTGTCAGGTCGACCTCGACGTGGTTTCCCCTGGCAACCATCGTGATTAATTCTCGTCGAATTCTTCACGATGGGCTAACTGACCTGTTTTCATTTTCACGTATCATCCGTCACTGGTGCCCCGACAGAGTATACCAATAACGTAGACGGTTTTTTTTTATACAACTTAGAATGGCAAACAAGCTGACGGCCCACCTGATGGAAAGTGGTAACCGTCGCCTATAGACATGAGCAGTACCATGGACATAACAGAGTATACTCTTTCGCACATGATACCCCCCATGCGTTGCCATTCCTGAGGACTCAGGTGTTATTCCTCTGTACCCTGTAAATTCACGCCATATCCCTTCAAACCGAAACACAGCCATGCAAACACAGTTGCTTCACGGTTGAAACACGAATGGGGCAGAGGTGCCCAAGCAATCGACTTTTATACAAAGTCTCCCTCTGGTAATTTTATTATCGTCTCAAAAAAAAAAAAAACAATTAATATGTACATTATTTTTTGTTAGCCCGTCCCCTAGCAAGTTGCATTTTAATATTTTCCGTAAATTGTGGGTATATCGAATATTAATTCAATCAATAAAGTTTAATAAATGTAATCATTCTTATTTTTTTTTATTTAAATAATAAAAAAATATATATCCGCAATAACACGAGTGTATGGTCACAGACGTGATGCACAAGTGAGGCTCTCTAAAAACATAGCGGCGTTGGCTGTTCAAGTCACATACAATACATACACTTCTCATACAAATTATCCTTGTATGTCACATTTTTATTAGTAATATATTATTGTGTCTAGGGTGCAGTGGTTTTACCAGTATGAACGTATTAAAATATTAAACAATCCAATTGGTTCGCGCGTGTTAATGCTGTTGTGAATTTGTTGTTATTGTATGATCAATTGTATTATGTTAGTGCAAAAAAATGAGGTGATTGGTTGGATCGATATTCTGGCTAGTTCTTTTTTCAAAAACATTTGACAGGTAAGTGTATGTTATGTCCTATTTATGTCCATTTATTGTTATATCACCGAAATTTTACTCTTTCTTTCTTTCTTTATTCTTTATTGTACACAAAAGGTTATTGAAATGTAAAAACAAACATAATAATGCACAAAGGCGAGCTTATTTGTCTCCAATAGAGATTTCTTCCAGCAAACGCAATATGAGAAAACTGACAGTTCATTAGTAGTTACAGTCATACATGTGTACAAATCGACTTAAATGTAAAATCTAAAATAAATGAATAAAATTTATTTCCAAATGAAAAGACCGATAGGTATAAATCAATATTTCAATCAATATAAATCAATAAAAATATCAAAATCAACTTTTGATGATGTTTTAAGCAAGACGCTGCTGCCCATCCCTCCACGATTCAATTACCACAATGGTTTCCAGGGGGAACAGCGCGGAGGTAGGCCTGATAGGATTTACTATTTTTTTTAATGTATGATAATGAAATGGTAATCCTGCCCGAGCTATCGGTATACACTGGCGGGGCACCAGTGAGGGATGAAAGGTGCGGATGAAAAGGCAGGTCAGTTAGCTCATCGTGACGAATTCAACGATAAATTAGTCACGTTAGTTTCCAGGGGGAACTGCGAGTAGGTCGACCTAATAGGGTATATTGGGGGGAAAGGGATTGTTAGTAATGGAGACTGAGAATCCCATTGCTTGCAAATTCATCCCAATCATCTGGAATTCATCATGATGGGCTAACTGGCTGGTCTCATCTATCACCCTTCACTGGTGTGCGTTTTAGCGCAGGCGGGGTTACCATACCATTTTCACCCAGCAAAAAAAAACTAGTTACATATATAAAATATACATATAGTATATTCAATGCAATTGATTATTCATAAATATTTCCCCTTTTCCAGGTATCCGTTTGGAAATCTAAATAATGAGTCGGCTATTGCTGGCTATACCAGTGTCCATTGGCTTCATCATTGCTGCTGGTTTGATTTACTGTATAAACAAATATTGCTGTGATACCGATACGACAACATAACCTTCAAGAAAAGATTGTAACTTATATATTCCTTTAATTAAAAGGATCGTTAGTAATGCGGCAGCACACCTGCAATGCCGCTGGTGTTGTGGGTGATCATGGGCGGCTTTTTTCATTATTCATCTATCATATATCCAGCGTATAGTCACTTACCATCAGGTGAGCCGCATGCTGGAAACCGTTTGCAATTCATTACCCCTGTGTTGTCACCTAAAAAAAAAAAATATCTGTTCTATTATCGGACTTGGAACGTTAAGAACTTAAGTCTCAACCCCATGATGCACAGTTAAACGAAGGTATTTGACGATAAAGTAAAAGACAGATAGTATTTTGTCCTTTATTATTTATTTTATTCACGATTGGACATTTTTGCACTCTATTTGCGGACGGATTGGCAACCTGAGAATGATAATTTAATAAAACCGTAACTGATGTTATTAATTGGCTAGAAGAAAATAATCTAAAAGTTAATCTTTAAATATATTCTTTATTGATTAAACACAAAGGTTATTGAAATGTGGAAAAACAAACATAATAGTGCACAAAGGCGTAAATATAGCTGATGAAAGCTTATCTGGATATGTTGCTTCCAATCTTAGATACGGCATTTTGGTAGAGATTTCTTCCAGCAAACCCAGAATATGTACCATATTTTAAAAAAAACTGACAGTTTATATATTATGAAACATGTAACTTTGTTACACTTATTTATTTACATGTAATAATGTACAAATCGTGGAAGATATCCAAATTAAATGTAAAATCTATATAAAATAAATGAATAAAATTTATGACAAATGCTACTATTCAATGTGATTATATAAAGATGTTGAACTATAATTATTAGAAAACATAATATTTTGACAATACATACTTGGAATATATATTATTTTATCAATATTTCAATCTTTAATTGAATTAATATAAATCAATCTGTAAAGACTAAAAAATCTATATCAAAATCAACTTTTGATGATGTTTTATAACAAATAAATTTCATTTCATTTCATTTCATTTCATTTCATTTCATTCCATTATCACCTATTAAAAGAAAAACTAGGAATCTATACAACTTTTAGAATATATTTGGGAACTAAATTGAAACTAATCATGCTTACTATAAGATCCTCACTGGTGACAGCGTAATGGGTCGGTCGTTCGGTGAAAAGGTAACGATGGCTGGCTCATGACTAGGATTTACTGGTTTTTTTTTTAAATGTACATATATAAAACTGAATGTTAATTACAATTACAGTAGCCATGCAACTGTAAAATTATCTTGTACATATTAATTTGAAGATTAAGTAAATGTTGAATTTCTTAGCGGTTCTTCTCAACAGATAACAATGTCTCAAACCTATACTTGAGAGACTTTGTACAAAAGCGATTGGGTCCCACGTGTTTCAGTGAAGCAGTTGTGTTTGAGCTGTGTTTCGGTTTGAAATGGCGTGAATTTACAGGGTACAGAGAAATAACATCTGAGTCCTCAAGAATGACAATGCATGGGGGGCATCATGGACGTAACAGTACACTCTGTTATGTCCATGGTACTGCTCATGTCTATAGGCGACGGTTACCACTTTCCATCAGGTGGGCCGTCAGCTTGTTTGTCATTCTAAGTTGCATAAAAGAAAAGAAAGTATTCTTTTTGGCAACTAGTGACTAAACCCCCCCTTTATAGGGGAGGCCTATGTTCAGCAGTGGACATTTAATGATATGATGATGATGATGATTCTTTTAAGTTATAATTACAGATTGTGTTTCACAAAAAAACCGGCTTCAATTGTGATAAAGCCAGTTATTTTGGTTTAAGAATTACTGAGCCGTTTTTGATATAATTTCTACGGAACTAATCTATAAGTATATCCTTTCAGATAATTTGCCCTTCAAAAAGATGTCTGTGGAAATCGTAATTAATTTAGTGCATTAGTTTTTGTTTGATGCCAAAACAAACGTACAGACAAAACAAAAACATAAAAATATTGAAAATTCTTGCCTCAAGAAAAAAATATTTGAACGAATCTTAAAAAGAGCAACCCTGTCCTAATCTAAGATCCCGCCGCTGACATCGACTTTTTACGCTGCTTTCTCTCTTTGAACCCTAGATTGTGGCTGAGATCGAGTAACCAGGATGCATTATTTTATATTTATGTTACTTTTCCATTGAAACCAACTTCCTTTATAAAGTTATATACGTGCAGAAATCAGCTGCGGGATTTTAGTCTATCCCTGCGCAAGCGGGGCTACCTATCCATTTTTAAACCTTAAAAAGAACATAATTTTTTACTTTCAAATTAATCATTCTTTTTTACCATCACATCTGTTTAGAATACCCGAACGCAGAATACGATGGATATACAAATAACCAGTACGACCTCAGTGTGGAGACTGGAGTTCCAGTGCAGGAGTACGAACACCCTGGTGGGTATTTTTATTAATCCCTCCAAAAGGTTACAGTAGAATGTTTAACAAAAACTCTATATTTATAGGATTCGCGACGACCGTATCCAGCCGTCAACCTGGGGGAAAGGGATTGGTAGTAACGGGAATGTAAGTTCCCATTGCTAGCAATATACCTTGTCAGGTTAACTTCCACGCCCTTGACAACCATCGCTATTAATTTGCTGTGAGTTTACCACGATAGTATATTAATGAATTGATTATTCATTGATCCCGACATTTTCTACCATAGATATTCATCTACATCCATTAAAGTTAATCCTAGGATTAACCAATCTCTTCCTGAGATCTATCGTTTGTTAACGATATTTCCAAAAAAATGTGCGGTACAATCGGCGATAAGTCCGCTAAGTTATATCTTATTTACAGGGAGAATGCATATTTCTGTATAGCATTCTCTCTGTAAGTTTTCGTGTGCACCCTGCATAGAATAGGACATCCCTTCCTTTCCTGTGGGTGTCGTAAAAAGCGACAAAGGGACGGCAAGGGATGTCCATTGGCTAATCATCATTGCTGCTGGTTTGATTTTCTGTATAGGGAAAAGAAATGTAATATGAGATGGACAGCTTTGTGTGTAGTTCTTTAAATAAATGGTATCAGATATGTAATGTACAATTGCCGTATGATCCCGGCAAATTGGGCCACCCCTTTCTTATCCGTGGTTGTCGTAAGAGGCGACTAAGGGAGCTTAGTGATTTGTGTTCCTCCTAAAACATACGATGCCAAGCATGGCAACCACTGGCAAAATTCCCAGACCTATGTCGTTATCTAATATGATGATTTGTAATAACAAGACGGCCCACCTGATGGGGCCTATGAACGCCTGCAATACCAGAGGTATTACGCGCGCGTTGCCGACTCTGAAGAAACCTCTTTACCCCCCTTTTTAAGAACCCCATGCTGTAGTCTCTTGGGAAAACCTCAGCAGGGAGCTCATTCCATAACCTGAGTAATGATGATAAGATATGTAATTTATTTATTCTTCCCACAGTGCCAGCAGCAATGGCTGCTGAGTTTCAGCATGGTCACCAGAACTGTCAGGTGATTGCACATACCCCAGGCGTGGTGTATGACCACATACACACGTATTCCCAACAGGACCTCATGATGCAAACATTAGGTAATTACGCGTATCTACAAATACCATAACAGGCCATAATCATAGCTTGAAAACAATTATGGTAAATTACGGAAAGAGAGTGTACAAAAGCCGTCTGCATGGACACCTCTATCCCACCTGTGTTTCTGCCGTAAAGCAGATGTGCTTCACAACATTACAGAAATTCTGGAATGCCAATGCAATGCGAGAATGACCTCATATACGTCTCAACGTGATGCCATATAGGGAAGGAATTGTGAGTAATGAGGTCTAGCAGCCTATATAAATTGCTAGCAATAATGAGATGAAATGGTAACCTCGCCTGCGCTATCAATAAACCTAGCGTGCTAACATACAAAATTATAATAAAAGTATTTAACTCGACTCTAGATATTTGTGAGCCGCTTCCAATATCTTTGGCAGGCTACTAGGTACTAAAATTATCAATGATGCTTATAATATGTACCTATTTATCTTTTACTCTCGTTTTGTTTGTTTAGCACCACCGTCATACGAAGAAGCAATCAAGAGTGATCCCCCTTCTGCGACAGTTTACCATTCTAGCTGCGACCCACCGACTGATACAAACAACACAACGGTGGAATAAAACTGACATAATTATTTTAATTATTTTTTTTTATACTACTTAGAACAGATGAACCTGATGGAAAGTGTCGTCGCCTATAGACTCAGTAATACAATGATAAAAAAATTACGATTTGCAAAGAAAATGCTTCACGGTAGAAACATGAATGGGACAGAGGTACCAAAGCAATCGACTTTTGTACAAAGTCTCCCTCTGGTAAATATAAAGTAAATAAAAAGTAATTTGTAAGATAACTGAGATTAATTGAGAGACATTATATATATATATATATATATATTTTTTTTTTTACAACATATATATATATATATATATATATAATTGCAAGTGTGCTACCGGTCTTTTAAAAAGGAATATGCTCTTTTATTATAATTTTAACATGACCGACATCTAAAGACGTTAATGGGCATCGCAACGTAACGTCCTTTAGGCGTTTTTTTTTTATGCGTGAAAATGGCATGGTTACCCCGCCTGCGCTATTGGTATACACTAGCGGGGTACCAGTGAGCGGTGATAGGTGAGGATGAAAAGGCAGGTCAGTTAAATATTCAATGATAAATTGGTCACGATAGTAAAACATATATTGAGCAATGGGGACTAAACCCATTTTAATTCGTTAACAGTTGACGCACTGCTAGTAAAAGAAAAGCGAAATATTTTACCATATTTGACACATATTTTTGAAAAGTTTACGTTATCTAACAATTTCCCACTTACTCCTTTTATTCTAATTCCTTTACTGTGTAAGCAGTTCATCTGTGGAACTCACTACCTACTTCCATTCGGTACGCTCAATCTCTCGCCAGCTTCAAAACCTCTGTTAAATCCCATTATTTCTCCCTTTAAGTACTATTTTCCGTGTTCTATCTTCATCTTCCAGAGTCACTCTCTCATGTTGTATGTGTGTTTTTAAATTTGTGTATGTTTATGTATATAACGTTTATTTACGATGAAGGTCCTGTTATTTATAAATATGGAGATGTAATACATGTAATAATGTAAATATACTACTCACTATTATATATATATATATATATATATATATATATATATATATATATATATATATATATCTTTGTATATATTTGTTTATATAATAGTACGCCACCTACCCTTTGTCTTTTCTCAATCTACCCAAAGGTTGTCTGGAAGAGTTTCGATAAGGCTGCCTTTTGTATCATTTCTCATTACAATTAAATGTATTTACTATTTTATAAATGGTGCAATAAAATGTAAAATAAAATAAAATTCAATTTAATCCTCCATTAAGTCATATATGTATGTCAACATATTATTTTTTAATAGAAACATCTATAATGTTTCCTTCTATTATTGTACGCACACTGCCCGCTGGTAATTAACGCTCCTTTCCACTCAGCGTTTGCTGGAAGAGAACTCTTACAGTGTTAAGCGCGCCTGTTGTACATCTTTATTTTATATATATATATATTGTAATTTTTTGTGTACAATAAAGAATAAAAATTAAATAAGTATATGTCATTGTATATTTTTGTTTGTGATGCTACAAACAGTTAAATAAATAAATAAAATGAATAAGTATACCTTTAAGATTCTCAAATGTAAAGTTAACATAAATATATTTTCAATCGACTTTAAAAAAGGTTTCTCAATTCGGTTGTATTTTTTTAACGTAACTTCGTCCGTTTTAAACCGATTTGGAAAATTCTTTTTTCATCTTAAAGGATATACTCACAGATTGGTATATTAGAAATTTTATCAAAATCGGTACAGTAGTTTAGATTTTAAATCTAAATAACTGGTTTTGCCACAATTAAAGTCAATTTTTTTTAAAACACAACCTTTTCATATATTTATTATCTTCTTTACTTATACATATATATAGTTGTTAAGTTATTTTTTAATGGGTGATAATGGAATGGTAACCCCGCCTGCGCTATCGGGATACACCGGCGGGGCACCAGTGGAAGATGATTGGTGAAAATGAATGCAGGTCAGTTGGCCCACCATGATGAATTCGACAAAAATTAACCACGATGGTTTCCAGCAGGAACCACGTGGAGGTCGACCTAAGTATATTGCTAGCAATAGGGCTATTTGACCTCATTACTAACAACCCCTTTCCCCCCACACAGTTGTTAAGTTAGGAGCACTTTAGTCTTATATGGCGGAGGTTGTATGTGAGAGTTGATGGACGGCTACAGCGCAGGCGCGTGATCCTGTGGCGTCGACTGGTCGCGACGTGTCATCAAATTAGGGCTGCTACGCATCGAAATCTTAGTAATTTTTATATAGATGAAAATGGAATAGTAACCCTACTTGCACTATCGGCAGTGGCAAACTAACAGGGGGCTTACTGAGCTCTTAAAATACCAAAACCTTGCTTCCATACCCACTTCCATATTTATAATGATAGTAAAAATTAAGGATTAAGAGCAAAAACTACTGCTGCAAAATAAATGCGGTTTACACTGCCGTATTTCTGAAGATCTAAATTAAAAACTGATTTAACGAAATGGCAGTCCAATGGATGGCTAATATGGAAGGTTGTAGAACTTCTGGTAGTAATGGCGGTCAATCTACGAGTATTAGTCGCTCATGGTAATAGAATTAAGCAAAATAATAATGGAATAACCAGTAAAGTGTAAGGTGAAACCATATTTTCTGCTACATGCCAACCCTGACGAGATGGAGACTGGCGCCCGAGTGTCGCCACTTGTTGCTGCTGTGCTCTGTGGCGCCACACCTCCCGTCCTGCAGGACCACGCTGCTTTCCAGTTGCCGACACACGAACACTGTGTCGACACAGTCACCATACGTTCGACTTTTAAAGGACATTATGAGGCGTATTATTGTTATTATTTAAAGACAGGCTTTTTCAGGCAGAAAAACCTGTAACGCTGCAACCTCTCCATGATGTTTTGTACTCGCCCTTTTTTAAAGTTCGCTGCTAATGCCCATCAACGATAGGAATTTTAAGACGTGAGCTGCAGCGACACATTCAGTACTGCGGCGTTTCTTCCTCATGGTGACAAAATCTGCAAACACTTTTTGGCCATAAGCCTAATTGGGCCATCTGCTTCTTTTTTTTTATACAACTTAGAATGGCAAACAAGCTGACGGCCCACCTGACGGAAAGTGGTAACCGTCGCCTATAGACATGAGTAGTACCATGGACATAACAGAGTATACAGTTTCACTCATGATACCCCCCATGCGTTGCTATTCCTGAGGACTCAGGTGTTATTCCTCTGTACCCAGTAAATTCACGCCATATCCCACCCTTTAGTTTACAGTGTCCAGTTTGGGCCCTTGTTAATACACACATATTATTTTTTTATTAATATTATTATTTATTAGGCGCATTAGTAATTTTTTAGCGAAATATGAGGTAAATCAATGTTTAGCAATGGACGTTGAATACATTTTTTTTATGGAATACGTTATACTGTATTCTCACTTTACGCTACACGAATGAGGTACCAGTAAAAAGAGGATGCAGTCAACTTATTTAATCCTTCGAGATAATGAATAGATAAACCATGGTTTTCTGGAAGACTATAAGAAGGTTGACTGACTAAGTATATGGGTAGCAATGCCATCGCGAACAATTAATTATCTATAACCATCAATGCATAACAGTACTTTTACCAGAATTTACCATTTGGTTTGATTCTAATATTTATGCAATATTTAAATGAAAAATATTGAATTTTCTTTCTAAGTCACAACTTACGAGAGTCTCAAAAAGTCTCTCCTTATTTAGGGACACAGTGCCACAGTGTCTCTCCGTGCTGAAGTCTAAAAGCAATCGCGCTCAGATCACTCATGTCGTGCGCCAAAAAGCTCTCTATCATCGCATCATTAGCTCGTAGATTTTCTACAAAATGTTTATCTGTAGCTTTTCTAAATTACAAAATATCACTCTGCGTATAAGGTTTTGATAATTAATTACATGATTTGATAATGACATTTAAAATTCGGGATCAAAATGTTTTTTAACACAAAATAAATGTATAACTCAAAATTGTAACAGATTTTAAAATTTACTGTAGTGAATTTGTAAGTGATAAAGTTTTTTTATCAACCAACGAAGACTTCATATCAGTGGAAAGAAGAGAAAATGAAAATTTCAATGATCAATCCGAGATTTAAGTAAGTAAATCTATTCTGCCTATCCTACGTCAAACTCTTAAGTAGAAAAACTAAAGTGCTAAAGGCTTCTGTCCCCACACACATGTTTTATTTCCTGCGCCTTTGTAACTCAAGCTTGGAAGCCGATTTTAGAGACCCTAGACTCTTCCATCACTGTATATTATAGATTAGTCTAGACCTTCTTTGGTCCTTGCATTTTCGGTCGTATATAATTTGATTTCCTTTATGTATCAGATATATTTCCATCTATCAATAATATACGCCATGTGGTCTCTGCATAGAGTATACCACCCCTTTCTTTTCCCGTGGGTGTCGTAAGAGGCGACTAAGGGAGGGCGAGGAATGAGCAGCAAGGTCCGTCTTAAAACATTTCCAAAGCCTAGCTGCAGTTACCAATCCGCCTGTCAAGTGTGGCAACTACTGGCAAAACCTTCCAAGGGGGAAACTTATGTTCAGCAGTGGACAGTTAAAGGCTAACGTGATGATCAATATTTTTTTTATATTACTTAAAATAACAAGCAGACAGCCGACCAGATGGAAAATAGTAGCTATCGCGTATAGACTTGAACAACACCTCGGACTTCACAATAATTTCATTGCAATATCGAAATATAATGGCGACTAATCAAAGTCCTGATAAGTTGGTCATTGTGAGCTAATTACAGGTCAGTTGGCCCATCGTTCATCCTTACTTATCATCTGCTAAAGGTCCTCCGGCAGCGAAAGCCAAATGATTACGTCGTCAATTTTGAACCGAACTTAATAATTACTCTTACAATCCGTAGATGCTGTATGCCCATTCTGATCCTATATGAAATCTTAAAGATTGAAGCTATATATATATACTAAACGAATATATATTAAACATATATATATATATATATATATATATATATATATATATATATATATATATATATATATATATATATATATATATATATATATATATATATATATATATATATATATATATATATATATATATATATATATATATATATAATAACTTAGAATGACAAACAAGCTGATGGCCCACCTGATGGAAAGTGGTAACCGTCGCCTATAGACATGAGCAGTACCACGGACATAACAGAGTATACTGTACCCCCATGCGTTGCCATTCCTGAGGACTCAGATGTTATCTCTCTCCTCTGTACCCAGTAAATTCACGCCATTTCCCACCCTTCAAACCGAAACACAGCCATGCAAACACAACTGCTTCACGGTTGAAACACAAATGGGGCAGAAGTACCCAAGCAATCGACTTTTGTACAAAGTCTCCCTCTGGTATATATATTTGTAGACTCATGATTCAGCGTTCTGAATTCAAATATTCTCAATCTAATGTGTCTACGACACGTCCCAATAGAAGTCTTGCTTTTTCGAAGGACAAAATTTATTGACAAGCGTTACTGCTTTATGAATTTTCAGCTTTTTTTCTCAATGAATGATGATGGAATGGTAACCCCGCCTGCGCTAACGGTATACGCTGGCAAGGTATCAGTAAGGGATGATAGGTGAAATTAAACGGCATGGCAGTTTGTCCATCGTGATGAATACACCTTGCATTCAGCATGATGGTGTCTGTGGGGAGGACGTGGAGGTCGATCTGTCAGGGTATATTGCTAGCAATGGCGGTACCATTACCATAGTCCGCATTACTAACAATCCCTTTCCCCCAATGAATTTTCAGCTGTAAGGCCTTGTAAGTGGAGTTAGTATGGGCGCTCCAGTGGTGGGCGCCCGGCCGCCAAGCCACGTCGCGTACTACGTGGCTCTCGCGGGGGTCGTCGTGCTTTTGTTACTTCTGTGCTGTTACTTCTTCTACTTCTGCATTAAGAGGGTGAAAGGTAAGATAGTAATAGAACAATGCGATTGCTTATGCTACTTCCATTATGTATTTTGCGTTTTTTTTTTAATATGTCTATCTATGTCTGTTGTTATTTGTGTACTGTATATAATGCAAATATAATCTACTGGGGGAAAGGGATTGTTAGTAATGGAGACTGAGAATTCCATTGCTAGCAATTTACCCAACCAGGTCGACCTCAACGCGGTTCTCCCTGGAAACTATCATGGTTAATTCCCGATGAATTCATCATGATGGGCTAACTGGCCTGTTTTCATTCTCATCTATCACCCTTTACTGGTGCTCCGCTAGCGTATCCCATTAGCGCAGGCGGCGTTACCATTCCATTTTCATCCATCAAAAAAAAAATCTATCGGTGGATAATTTCATTCAGTAGTTTTTGCGCGAAAGAGTGACAAACACTCATGTATCCACCCATGCATTCAGGCTCGGCAACGCGCGCGTGATATCCCTTTTGTTACTGCGATAACACCGTTTACCATCAAACGGGCCGTATGCTTGTTTGTCACCATATTAGTAGTAGTATAAAAAAATCCACCGTTATAAACTTTTGTATTTATAATATTAAAAGGTTTTTTTTAATAAAAATAATAATAGCTTGTACTGTGGATACTAAACAACTGATATATTTTTGTTTTACACAACTCGATTGTTTGGGTATATTGTATCGTACAAAAGTCGATTGCTAAGGTACCTCTGTCCCATTCGTGTTTCTACCGTGAAGCAGTTGTGTTTGCATGGCTGTGTTTCGGTTTGAAGGGTAGGATATGGCGTGAATTTACAGGGACAGAGGAATAACACTTGAGTCCTCAGGAATGGCAACGCATGGGGGGTATCATGGGGGAAATAGTATACTCTGTTACGTCCGTGGTACTGCTCATGTCTATAGGCGACGGTTACCACTTTCCATTAGGTGGGCCGTCAGCTTGTTTGCCATTCTAAGCTGTATAAAAAAAAAGAATAATTTACTTTATCTTCTTATTCCATAACAGAGTTAGCTCGCCAAGAGTACTTAACGCCAGCTCCGTCGCCGCCGCGAACTCAACCGCTAGCGCCTCCGCCCACCACCTCGTATCCCGTGCAGCCAGGTAGGTTTATATCGTCAACGTTATATCAGCCGTTTTTTTTAATGAGTGATAATTGAATTGTAACCCCGCCTACGCGTCAGTGTATATCGTTAGTATACACTGACGGACCACCAGTGAAGGGTTTTTTTTTGGTGGGTGAAAATGGTATGGTAGCCCGCCTGCGCTAACGGGATACGCTGGCGGAGCACCAGTGAAGGGTGATAGATGAGAATGAAAACAGGCCAGTTAGTCCATCATGATGAATTCATCAGGAATTAATCATGATAGTTTCTAAGCAGAACCGCGAGGAAGTCGACCTGGTTGGGTATATTGCTGGCAATGGGATTCTCAGTCTCCATTACTAACAATCCCTTTCCCCCCACCAGTGAAGGTTTATAGGTGAGAATGAAAAGGCAAGTCAGTTAACCGATCGTGATGAATACACCTAGAATGCAAAATGATGGTTTCCAGGGAAGGACCACGGGGAGGTCGACCTGACAAGTTATATTGCTAGCAATGGAACTAGTATTCCGCATTACTGACAAGGTGTCTTCAGAAATTATTTAATTCCCCTTGTATTGCAGGCGTTCATGTGCTATAGTAACTGCTTATCATCAGGTGTGACCCACCTTATACTTGATTGTCACCTCAGTGGTATAAAAAAATCTTTTTTGTCAATTCCTATTAAAAATATATATATATAATATATTTTTATTTCTTTTTTTTTTATACAACTTAGAATGGCCAGCAAGCTGACGGTCCACCTGATGGAAAGTGGTAACCGTCGCCTATAGACATGAGCAGTACCATGGACATAACAAAGTATACTGTTCTGCCCATGGTACCCCCACGTGCGCATGCGTTGCCATTCCTGAGGACTGAGGTGTTATTCCTCTGTACTCTGTAAATTCGCTGCCATGTCCCACCCTTCAAACCGAAACACAGCCATGCAAACACAACTGCTTCACGGTAGAAACACGAATGGGACAAAGGTACCCAAGCAATCGACTTTTGTACAAAGTCTCCCTCTGGTAATATATGACGTGACACCCCTGAGAATAAGCTAAAGTAACCTTTTACCATCAGACGGGCTGTACACCTGTTTGCCATCTTCGGGATAAAAAAAAATACTATAATTATTGTTGACAGTGGTACGCGACAGTGCATCCGCGATGGCGAAGCTCTGCCGTCAGTTGCCGTCGCAGCCAGTCGGTGGGACGGTGTTCCCCACCAGTACGTCGCCAACGCCACCCGTCAACAAGCTGCCAGCGCCGATCATCACTCCCTTACCCACCATCAACGAGCCCGTGTCTGCTCGATAGGTCATTTTGTAACCATTCTTATCGAGCCAAAGGTAATGTTCCAAATATCTATGGAATTTGGACCTAATTAATATAAATAATACAGAAAGAATTTATCAGCCTTCACTGGTGCTCCGGCAGCGTATCCCGTTAGCGCAGGCGGGGATACCATACCATTATCACCCTCAAAAAAAAATTGGGCTTTATTTTCTAAACACAAATTTAATTTCGAATTCGATATTTGAATAGTAAAATTATATAAACGGGAATTTTATAAATTTATTTCATCATCGATGGAGTCGATTTTGAGACGTTATTTCTTTAAACCTAATATTTTAAATACACAATTGGGACTAGACGCGATGTAAAAGCCTTTATAAGTAAATAGTACCTACATACCTTTATTTTTTGTCGAGGGGAAATGCTCATGGAGACCCGCATACCTCGGTGGAGATATGGGGCTGAAACCCCCCGGTGCTCCTTCTCAACGCTCTCGTCGGGACATCGGTGTGCGCGAGCAATCGACCCGTCCGGAACGCATTGGTCCGTCAGTACCTACATACCTGGTTTTTCATTGCCCACGTATATATATATATATATATATATATATATATATATATATATATATATATATATATATATATATATATATGAATATTTTAAGTATTACTTTATGTTTCCGTCACTGTCCTTGAGAACACCGTCCGGTGTTAAGTCCGCCAAATATTTATACTGTGCATTTAAGTGTAAATAAATAAATATACAATTTTATTGTGGCGAAATGCAGCCAATCGACTATTTATTTCACTACAACAGTCGACAAATGACTCTGACTACCCCATTAGGGATTATAGTCGTGTACTTTAATAACTTCAATTTAATCCTATATACTTAGTAAATTGCTAAAAAAATAATAAATGTGCATTCATTGTATGTGCCTGTATTTAATAGTTTTATTAACAATTTTGTACTTTTGTATGTTGTAATGTTAAAATGGTTTTAGAATTTTCACATTTTTCTATAAATTAATAGATATCTGATAGTAACTAATAATAGCTTGGAAAAATACTATTTGTAAATGGCAGTTAAGTAAGTATTTTGATTGATATGTAGTAAACATAGAGTTTTTCTAAATATTTTCCTGAATCAGGTATTATGTCGCGGAAGTCCATATCACTGGTTATTTAATTACAATTATTTTGTTTAATTCCGCCACCATTAGTATGTGTGTGAACTGTCACTGCGGATATTCTGAGCAGCGATCTTATACTTTGCCTGAACATGCCTTGTTTAGAGGTGAGACACGTGTCACAAAACGTGCGTAAACAAAATGGCGGAGATCGACTGCGAGTAATTGTGGACTTTCTGGTAATACTAATAGAAGTCAATCTTCAAGTGTTGGCAGTCACACACGTACTAGTGGAAGCGGAATTAAACAAAATAATTCTAAACAAATAACCAGAGGGCCTAACATGAAACGTTTTTCGAAATTTCGGAGCCAAACGAATGACAAATTTGATGTTAAAATTACATAATATATGCCGTTTGGAGATATTAAAAATGTTAAAATATTGTTTCTTTGGACTTTTATGATAGGATGTATGACGAACGAAATGTTAAACTCCATTTATTGGTCCGATTTTGGTATAAACAAAAACACGAAATTGTGTCCGAAATTTCGGAATTTTATTTCATGGTAGACCCGCAGTACTTAAAGTTTGTTTCGAATAAAAAAGAATAAAATAACAGCTGGAACATTTTAGATTAGTTGTAAGAAAAATTAAAGATTATATTTATTCTTTGTAACTATTGAATGTTGTATTTTATCGTATTATAGTATTGTAAGCTAATGTACAATGTAATATTACATTCAGACACCATACATGAATGTTTAAATAGAAATAGTACTTACACATGTGTAAATTTTATTTTTACAGAGTCTGTGTATTATGTGGAAATTATTTTATCGAATTACTGTTTACCCGACAGAACCAAAATGAGTGATACTGTATTTTTCCTATTAAATATTATAAATATTAATACAAAAATCATGTATATTATATATATAATAATAATTTGATATTTTGCGAATTTTTTTTTTTTTTTTTTTATGGAACATAGAATGGCAAACAAGCTGACGGCCCACCTGATGGAAAGTGGTAACCGTCCCTATAGAGACAGTACCATGGACATAACAGAGTATACTGTTTCGCCCATGATACCCCCCATGCGTTGCCATTCCTGAGGACTCAGGTGTTAGACCCAGTAAATTTTCTTCAAACCGAAACACAGCCATGCAAACACAACTGCTTCACGGTTGAAACACGAATGGGACAGAGGTACCCAAGCAATCGACTTTTGTACACGTTAACGGTTTTCCCAAGAGACTACAGCATGGGGTTGAAAAGGGGGGTAGAGAGTTTTCTTCAGAGTCGAAAACGCGTCATACCGTAACACCCCTGGTATTGCAGGCGTTGATAGGCTACGGTAACCACTTACCATCAGGTGGGCCGTATGCTTGTTAGCCATCTTAGTGGTATAAAAAAGATATATTTTATTATCAAAATTATAAAATTTTAATGATAAATTATTTTTACACACATAATTAAATTAAAAAAAATATGGCTACAAAATGTATGAAATTCTGTAAATTTTTAAAAGTATCCTGTTATATTAGCCGGTATTTGTACGTGCAGTTGTTATATATACTTATTTACTTATATATATTATTGCACACGCTGACAATACATTCATATACATAAAAGAAAAAAAAATATACAAAGGCGAGCTTTACTAGCTTAAGCTTTTTTTAATTAAAAATAGTCTAATGGGATTTTTTTACTGTCGTCATAAGCTTGATTTGGAAGAATTCCTTATTGGATGCAAACTAATCAATTTTAATATTCTCAAGTGAATCTCTTCAACGAATTATAGAATTATTGTTAAATAAAAAATTAAATGGTAATTATGTTTTGAATGTATATTTCAAAACATAAAAAAGTATCTGTTATAAATATATACAAACTATTATTTTAAATATAAATTATATTGGTGTATATATATATATATATATATATATATATATATATATATATATATATATATATATATATATATATATATATATATATATATAAGTATAATATGAAATTTAATTAAGTCGCCGTCCGTAGCTCCGTCCTGCTTTTGCTTTAAAAATATTAGTGTAATGTAAAATAGCATTGTGTAATAGCAGTAATCATCGTCATTCTCCCATACCGTACCATCATACATAGTTTGTCTTCTATGACGTGGCGCGTCCCTCCAAAATCCAAAGAAAGCTATACTGAAACTGTCTCGAACCACTGCTGGACCGATATTGATGATGTTCCTCACAAACACAAACAAATTTATATTATCTTTATTAAAAAAAACTTGTTTACAAGCACTTTTAAATCGTAATTTTTATAAATGCAAGGTTCGAAAAGTTATTTGTTGAAAGGAACCTGGAACAAGCTCAACAAGTACTCTTTTAAATCTCTGTTAACATTATATGTATTTATTTAAATGTACTATGTCTAAAATTACATGGTCGTTAGAAGCCCGTGCATGATCCACTAATACCATGCACATTTGTCATTCAAGTAATCGTTTAGTGTGTAATAGGCTTTGTTCAATAAGTGTTTTTTAATAACAGTTTTAGACTTATTAAAAGGCAGATCCAAAATATCCATCGGTATCTTATTATAACATTTAATGCCCATTCCCAGACCACCACGTCTATATATGGGCGCATACGTTAAAATAAAAATTTGGAGGTATTTGCCATGTTAACACAGCAGACAATTTATAAAAAAAATATCGTTCCATTTGTATGCCTGAGAAATATTTACTAACTAGGATTCTGGGCTGGCTGGCTGGCAGGTGGCTTGGTATTATGCTTTGCTTCTTGCCTCAGTGTATTGTGCTCGTTTCCGTAAATACTCTGCCCCTTCTAATTATTATTTCGCCATTACCTTTTATAGCCAGAATGTTGTAAAATCGCTTTGCCCTATTATCATATTTAGCAGAGGGAGACTTTGTACAAAAGTCGTTTGCTTGGCCACCTCTGTCACATTGGTATTTCTACCGTAAAACAGTTGTGTTTGCATGGCTGTGTTTCAGTTTGAAGGGTGGGATATAGCATTAATTTATAGGATATAGAGGAATAAAACCCGAGTCCTCAAGAATGGCAACGCATGGGGAGCATTATGGGCGAAACAGTATACTTTATTATGTCCATGCTACTGTTCATGTCTATAGGCGACGGTTACCACTTTCCATCAGGTGGGCCGTCAGCTTGTTTGCTATTCTAAGTTGTATAAAAAAAATTCTACTAACCGACATTACAATGTATCGACAAAATTAAACAAAATGTTTATTAACAATTAAGTAAAGTGATATTTACCTATTATTGTAATATTTGTATTTTATCAAAAATAAATACATAACTTGTACCTTAATGTTTTACATAAAGCTTCTAAGTATTATGAGTGTAAAATATTTTTCATGGTATCTTTGGAGTTAATGAAAACTAAATAAATGTTGATTAAAATAAAAAATAAATGTCTTTATAATATGAAAATGTTATTCATTGTATTTTATGAGTGATTTCTATTCTAGAAGTATCCTATTTTTTTTTATGGGTAAAAATGGAATGGTAATTCCGCTAACGGAATATACTGACGGAAAAACAGTGAAGGGTGATCGATGAAAATGGAGGCCAGTTAGCCATACATACATATATATATATATATATATATATATATATATATATATATATATATATATATATATATATATATATATATATATATATATATATATATATATATATATATATATATATATATATATATATAGCCGAACATCATGATGAATTCATCAGGAATTAACCATGATAGTTTCCAGGGGGAACCGCGAGGAGGTCGACCTGGTTGGGTATATTGCTAGCAATGGTATTCTTAGTCTCCATTACTAACAATCCCTTTTCGCCTAGAAGTATCTTATTGTATGGTACAACATAGAATTGACCACCCCTTCTTTACCCATGATTGTCGTAATAGGCGACAATTCTAAAAAATACATAAATAAATATTGAATATTAATTATATTTGTTTAATGAATAATTTCATTATAGAATCCGTTACGACGATATTATCCGCAAAACAACCATTGTAACCGCCATAGCTCGAGGGATAAACAAGCTGAAGTGGCAATAGGCTGGTCAAATAGCTCGAAGAACCGACAACTGATGGGAAAGAAAGGTTCTTGAATGGTGACACAGTACGGGCGAAAGCAGTATAGGACGACCCTGCACTAGATGGAGTGACGACCTCAAATGCATTGCAGGGAGTCAGTGGATACAGGTGGCTCAGGGCCGTTCTTTATGGTAGTTTACGAGGGAGGCCTATGTCCAACAGTGGGCGTATAATGACTGAGATAATTTTGCCCAAGATAAGATAAAATAATATATGAGAGGGTTCTACCATCATATTAAAGTTTCTTAAATATTTGTCGTAGACAGATATCACCTAGTAACATAACTTTATTATATTAATGGGTTTTTGGAACAAACAATAAAGTTATGCTTGGTTTTAATTCATTCTTGCTAGTAATCGCTAGAAATAAAACAAGATTATAAAACAAATAATTTTAATCGCTTACAAAGATAGATAGATAGAGTCTTTATTACCACTTACAATATTTAAAAAAAAAAACAACAATAAAAAAGAAAATAAAAAAAAATATTTTAAACACAAATATGTATAAATACGTATACAAGTAGGCACGTATCTACTTGTCGATAGCATACAATTGAAACGTAGACTTAGACTTATAAAATTGCAGAATTCATAATTTATTTTCAAAATTAAACATTTATTTACATAATTTTTTTAAAATATTAATTATTAAGACGTATGAAAAAAAGTTTAAATGAAGCAGTTTTTTATTTTTATTTTTACGATTCTCGTATAAGTTTAGATATTTATTTTTATTACAAAATTCCCATTATTTTAAAATAGACATTCGTAAGAAGCACTTATCGTTATTTTTATTTTATTAAATTGACAAACAACGCGACAATATTGAGTTCTCTTATCTTTAGTTTATTTTAATTTTATAGTGTAACGATTCTCGTCCAAAAATATGTTTTGCTTGTATTTATCTTAGAATAGAGAAACATAGATTATTAAATTGAAATCAGACAGTCACTTTATACTCGTAGTTTAAGTAAATACAGAATGGAATGTTACATAGAAATAGAGGTAACGAATGGCTCAATTTATTTGTAAAATAATTGTACCATTACTCAATTATGTGGCTTGCTGTTGTAAAAACTAAACTATTATTGATAGAAATCGAGAAATTACTATGACATATTGGACAGATAGAGTGTGTCCCTATATTTGGGAATAGAGTGCACAGTAGGGGGCACAAAGTAAAATCGACGCCCTAAGACTGCTACTGAGATAATAGAGTGGTCCTGGGGAAAAGGGATTGTTAGTAATGTAGACTGAGAATCCCATTGCTAGCAATATACCCAACCAGGTCGACCTCCTCGCGGTTCCCCCTGAAAACTATCATGGTTAATCCTGATGAATTCATCATGATGGGCTAACTGGCCTATTTTCATTCTCATCTATCACCCTTCACTGGTGCTCCGCCAGCGTATCCCGTTAGCGCAGGCGGGGTTACCATAACATTTTCACCCATCAAAAAAAAAATAGAGTGGTCCTTGATGATTCATATATTTAGGGCATGGTTTTTTAGCCTATAAATATTTTGCAGCTCTACCTAAAGGATGATTATTTTGAAAAGGGTTTGTCGTTCAAAAGTACTGTTTGTAACGCTGTTCTGGTTAATTCTATAAATAGTTTTAAACATTTTTATAAATACGAAATGTTAACTTCCATATATTTCCGGAGTAAATTGTACTGCATTTAACCTAATTCTCGACCAACAATTGACATGTAACGAAGCAATGCAGTTGCTAAATCTATTTATGTTCATATCTGTAGTTTAATCCCAAGATAAATGTTAAGTAGGTAAAGAAGCAATTTGCTGGCATCGCTTAGAATACGGATCAATGTATTACACTTCAATAATAATAAATAATTAACAATACACATTCATCTCACTATTATGTCCTCTATAATAAAGTAAACACTTCACTTTGTCATAATTTCATATAAAAATAATAAAATATTTACCAGAGGGAGACTTTAAACAAAAGTCGTTTGCTTGGACACCTCTGTCCCATTCGTGTTTCTACCGTGAAGCAGTTGTGTTTGCATGGCTGTGTTTCGGTTTAAAGGATGGAATATGGCAGTGAATTTACAGGGTACACAGGAATAACACCTAAGTCCTCAGGAAACTTTCCATTAAGTGGGCCGTCAGCTTGTTTGCCATTCTAAGTTGCATAAAAAGAAACCTATTGCCTAAAAGGTAAAAAATTATATCAAATTAGAATCTATCTCAGTTTTATCAAAAGCTATATACGGAGTATAGCTTTGTATGTATGTCATTAATCCAGAAAGAAATAGATAAAGTCAATTATTGGTTCGCACATATTGCATTAAAAATAATTAAAAAATATATTTTTGTTGTAAGGAGTCCAAACGCGTAGTCAAAATTTCAATATTAGCCTGATTTGAAATTGAAATTGATTATTATTCATTAATCTACAGCGTAGTTAATTTATAATTAAAAATGTAAAAAAAGTAACACCAGCCTTATTCTCTTATGATAATAAATTTATTGATAATTGAAAAAAGAAATTATAATCATTTTAAGTCACGTTTTTTATATATTATTAATTTCGGGATTGCCCGATTGATTTCGGACTCTATAGAGTTTCGAGTCCGAAATTAGTCGCGCAACTCCGAAGTGGAGTAAAACCGATATCAATAATTGGTAAACATGTTTTATTATTTTAATGAAATTATGACCAGTGAAGTTTTATAATACAATAAACAATTGTTAGACTCAATAAACTTTCACTTATAGTGAATAAATAATTGATTTATCTAAAATTGCTTTAACTAATTCTATTCGAATTTTAATCGTCTCAATTCCACAATAGGTGATGGGAAATAGAATATTGGGGATGGAGGTTAGTCAGAGAGAAGTAGGCAGGCACTTCAAAAGTATCAATTTTAAAAACTATTTATATAGTTTTTAAAACTGAAATCAGTACTATATTTATATACTAGCTGTTTCCCGAGATTTTGTCCGTGAATCAATATATAAAATACTCTGTGTTAAATTAGCATATAATCTACTCGTGTACCAAATTTCATTCAATTCTATTCAGCCGTTCAAGCGTAATTGAGTAACAAACATACAAACACAAACATTCACACATCTTCACAAACTTTCCCATATATATTGTTAATAGAATAACAAGACTGGAGTAAAAGTTACTCCTGGAGTACCACTTCTGAGCTGTAGTACAATGAATTTCTTTAGCAATATAAACATACACGCTCGAGGATGTGGCGAGTTCGTGCCATTACTTTATACTTTTTTAATAAACAGATACAAAAAAAGCTAGTCAGCTATATGGCAATATGTGGATTTTTTTTATCTGAATTATTTTGTATGTGATCTTCTGGTAATTTAATTAGATAGCAGTTTCTTTCCGGTCGGAGTCTGAGCAGAGTTGCAGCTCGTGATACTCTGGTGGCCGCTCTTCACTCTCCTCCAATTCTAAATCCAAATCGCTCTCTGCAATGGATAATCGTTCATTAAATACAATAATATAAAGATTTATAAATAAGTTCTTACTTTTAAATAATATTATTCTATAGTGGAATCAGGAATATTGTCATTTAATAAAATATAGACTCAATAAACTTGTATATTTTAATTCCAAAATAAATATTACAAAAAAAAATATACAGTAATTTCAATTATAACAAAACATGTCACCAATTAGAGACACGTTTCGTAGACACATAAGACAGAAAATATTTGAATTTAGAACTCGTAACTGTCAATCTACAAATTGATGAAAACAGTGGATGGATGTAAAGGAAGAGGACGACCGAATAAAAGATAGATGGACTGTGTGAAAGATGGTATACATTAAAGAGAAGTGAACTCAGAAATGACAGTTGACAGGCATTTGTGAAAGAAGAAGATATAATACGCAGACCATAAATAAATAGGAAAAGGCAAAGCAATGATGATCATGATTAATAAAATCACTTCAGAATTAACAACTAAAAAAATATAGGCTACTTGAGACATTTCTTCTACTTTTGGATGTAGTTTAATCTAACCATAAAAAAATCCAAACTCACCTGAGAAGGCTCCAGATTCAGGTCTTTGCGGCGGCGCCAATATGTCCCCGTCGCTGGCATGCCGCGCCCTCATAGCTCCCGGTGGTACTATTTCAGTGCTCGCTGGCCTTGCGCGTAGTTCAGACACGGAACCTACTTCTGCCAGATAGCACGCTCCACCTTCATAGCCAACAGTTTCTACAAATATATAAAAATATATTTATTAATGTACACTGACGAGAACTATAATTTACATGGACACTTGATAATTACAAGAAACAGGAGTCAACTAAAGTAACCTATTAGCACAAAAATATTAAAAATAAAAGCCATCTAGCCAGCGTTGTGTTTAAGAGTTAGCTTTATTTTTCAGCTATAATTTATAAGAGGTGACGTCAAAATCTATAATTTGTAATTTCTCAATTTGTTTTGTTAGTGGTGAGATCAAATTTAAAAAATAAAAACTGAAAATTGATGAAATTCAAAGTTCGCATACATACCAACAGATGGTGGAGGATACGGTCTCATGCTCACACGAGACTCGATATTATGATGCATGGCTCCAGATCTATCGATTTGATCCACGTCTTCTTCTAGCCAATAATTGAAAACCTTTGAAGTTTGATGTTCCTCTAACGGAATCAATGTTTGTCTAGGACGATCCTTTGATTTAATAGATTCGTTAAGAGACTGTTTTGCTTCTTTTGCTCTATATACTGCTTTAGTTCTTTCTTCAAATAGTTCGTTATCATCTTTTGTAGGAGTCCTGCTGAGTAAAGATGTTGCTTCATTCGTATCTCCAATATAAAAGTTAGACAATTCTGTGGCATCTGTATCCTTTATATCGTCTGTATAAGATTCTTTATCTTTTCTGCCTCGTGACGATTTGATATTTGTGTAATGTTTCTTACAAGTTTTAGGAGGATGTTCATCTGTTTTATTGCATTCCGGAGAAGACAATTCTGGTTCAGCCCGAGGCGCTATTTCTGTACTCAGACTCAGATCAGAATCTTTATGTTCTGCATCAGGTTTTAGAGGTATATGAAGATCTTTGGTAGATCTTTCCCAGTCGCGTCTATGTAGAACTTCGTCTATCACGCTAGGTGCTGAGTGGTAGCGGGTCTCCGATTCGGTCACTTCATGATGAGATTTGCGTCGACTGCGTATCTCTTCGTGACTTCTATGAGCTGATAACGGTTGTTTTGCATGGCCTGTAAGTAAAACACAATATATGTAATAAAAAGTTACATAATTTATTTGAACATTCATAATTTTTGAGAGATATTACCTATATATTCAATATCCACTGTTATTAAATTTTGAAATTGTAAAACCTACTATAAGTTTTACAATTCCAAAATTTCTTGAAACACTAAAGTTACCTGAAGTACTTGGAAGATGTAAAGAGACAGCACTGCTACCAATACGTCTACTGAAGAAATCGTGAGAACGTCTGCGGGAATCAGAATCTGGAACAAATATTACAAATACAAAATAGACCCACGTTGGGCGCCAGTTACGTTCAGCTAAACATCGACACGTCAAACAACGATGGAATGATGTGTATAGTCAGTGCTATATCTAGAACGAACAATCCCTAAAAAGAATGTGCATAAAGCTATACTACCGATATAGAAGTATTTATGACATTTGATGTTGTGTGACATACTATTTGCACATTTATGTTTGCGACATACACACCATTCGTTACGAGCGGCTTCCGAGGAGGCTTTCCAGAGCTAGACGTGTCTGAAACCACAGGAATCATTTTTAGAGATTATCATAGAACAGGTACTATTTGAATATTAAAGAATAGAATTTTTGCAAAGCTGTCCGTGTCACTGTGGCGTCTTTGTTATCCTTTGTGCATTTTTATGGCTAATGGAAATTATACTCAGTCAATTCATAAATTTTATGTTACTGTGTGGTCCCTGCATAAAATGGGCTACTCCTTCCTTTCCTGTGGGTATCGTAGGAGGAAACCTAAGGAAACTTAATGGTAAAGGGATAGACAGCAGTGTCTCACAGTGTCTTAAAACATCACGAAAAGCTTAACCGCAGTTGTCATCCCGCATGCCAAGCGTGACAACTACTGGCAAACCCCCCTTATGGGGGAGGACTATATTTAACAGTTGACAGTTGATGGCAGATACTACAACTTGTATATTTCAATAATCTTTTCTCTCTTTCTTTCTACAAATACATCTAGTAACCCCATTATGGATTATAACTACCTATATATATACATATATATATCGCTGTGTGGTACTACGGTTAACTAATTAACGACAGTTTCTAACTCGCCTGTCAAGCGTGGCAACTACTGGCAAAACTCCCCTTACGGCGAAGGCTTATGTTCAACAGTGGACAGTTAACGGCTGAAATAATAATAATTATACCTGATTTAGAATCATCAGGCCAGCAACACAGCCAGCAGAGCAGGAGAAGTGGAGCACAGATCTCGGTGGCCACCAGGCCGCCGGCCAGTCCAGTGGCGGCGCCCCCCGCTCCCATACTGCTGCTGCAGATTGGAAATGAAAAAGAGGCACTAAAAATAAAAGAAAAACTGGCTTTTATATTTAAGTTATTTTCTAGCAAACACACTTTTTTTTAAATAGATGATAATGGAATGGTAACCCCGTCTGCGCTATCGGTATACGATGACGGGGCACCAGTGAGGGACGATTGGTGAGAATGAAAAGGCAGTACAGTTAGCCCATCGTGACGAATTCAACGACAAATTAGTCACGATGGTTTCCAGGGGGAACCGCGTGGAGTTCGACCTAATAGGGTACCTCCCCGTTACTAACAATACCCTTCCACCGTAGTAATTACACTATCTGTTACCAATACTAGTTTATATTTTTAATAATTAACCGATAGTGTTTTTTTCTCTATTGAAATTACAAAATAGTTGACGGGCCCACCTGATGATGAATGGTAACTGTTGCCCACACACACGGACAATACCATGAGCAAAATAGACTCTGACTTTCATATTTGGCAACCAACTTTTAAAAAGAAGGACGTTTTCAATTCGGTTTATGTTTGTTACCTCATTAGTGCGTCAGTTATTAACTCATCATCTTCCAACCCTTATCCCAGTTATTATTTAGGGTCGGCGTAACATGATTTTATCCATATTACAAAAAGATTTGGTTTTTAGTTTTTCGACCGGTCACCTGCCTAACGTCAACCCTCTTTAGGAATACATTTGTTGGTGGTTTCCGTCACCTACGGAAAGGAAAAAAGAACGGGAACGTTGGAAATGCGTAAAGGAAATTGGTGAATGAGAGGAATAGGGGACTTATGTGGGAAAGGAAAGGGGGGACACTGCAGTTGCGGATAGGACACTGCATCGGCTCGGGAGGCTGGGGTCGCATAACTGTATGCCCTTATTCTAGAATCGAACAGATTTCTATAGAAGAACACTCCTGACGCTGCGTCAATTATTAACTGATTAGGAAAACTATTTTCTTTTATCTGAAAACATAGCTGTGTGGTCCCGGCATAGAATAGGCCACCCCTTCCTTTCCCGTGGGTGTCATGAGAGGTGATAAAGGACTAGTGATCAAAAGGGAGATTAAAACATCTCCAAAGTCTAACTGCGGTTGCCAATCCTTCTACCGGCATAACCCCGGGGCAACTACTGGCATAACCTCGAAGGTCAGGCTTATGTTCAATAGTGAACAGTTAAAGGGTGATATGGTGATGATGATGCTGATGATGATAATGAAAGAATATACTTACAAACTGCTATAGAAATGTTATTAAAATACGTTTAGTAGTTTAGTTTTAAAAATTAAAATAATTAGTTTTGCCACAACACAAAAAAGGAGTAAGTCATTCGTGTTTCAAGAACTACGTAAAACCACTATCACCTAAAACCGTCGTCACGTGAATCATAAAAAAAATCAACAAAAAATTTATACAACGAAGCTTTACAAATGCTATTAAAGTGAATATCTATTCTTTGACAGAGTACAAATCTTTGTATCATTCCATCGATACATATAGACTGCGCATTTTTGTCTCCAAAACTGATAAAATATGTTTTTATTACTTGTTATTTACAATTCACTATAAATAAATCACTCTATAAATATAGCTTATTTATTTGTTTACTTTAATACTTTTGTATATTTACTTTTAATATAAATATTAGGTTACGAAAATGTACACATGCGGACTTATACCATAAAGGGATTTCTTCTATTCAACCTTGAGAACACGAAATGAGAAATAGCTTAGGTATATATAACACAAATTATATGTACATCATTAATCGATGTAATTATTTTTGTTTATATAGGTATCATAGTACATTAATGCATTCATTTATGCATTAATAAAAACAATAGAGAATAGAAGAGGCAAAATGCTTGGCTACTTTATACGACACGACAATTTTTTAAAGAATATAGTAGAAGGAAAAATAAAAGGCAAAAGAGGAAGGGGAAGACCGAGGATTAACTACATGGGACAGATAAAAGAAACACTAGGTGTCATGTATAGGGAGATAAAGGATATGGCCTGGGATAGAGCTGGCTGGAGGAAGATGCATGAATTAGTTGCACCGACAAGAGGAAACTCTTAAATGAGAAAAAATATGGTGATATCTAACCATAATTATGCCACTAAACGAATCATATACCCCGATAACCACATTTAATGTACTTACATTTATTATGGTTATACAATTATTATATTTATTATTCCTATTTTTATTTTGATTATTAATTATTAAATTACACTGTTATGTCCATGGTACTGCTCATGTCTATAGGCGACGGTTACCACTTTCCATCGGGTGGGCCGTCAGCTTGTTCGCCATTCTAAGTTGTATAAAAAAAAATGATATTTATGTTCGTATTTGACTCAAAGTATATCTCTGGCAATCCAGCGTGGAAATGTTGCAAGGGTTATGGGAACCTATAAAATGGGTACGGGACGTGAAGATAATTTTTAACTAGTTGGTAACTTAATTAGTATTTTTTTGTTTAAGTATTTTAATTAAATTTAATTGAATCACTTATTTTTAATTCCAGTACTAAACTGCTGAAATGATTTTATACAATTTCTATGGGACCAATCTGTAAGTTTTTCATCGAAAAAGCTTTCAAATTGTGTCACTTTTTAAAACAATAATATATACATACAAAAATTTAAACTTATATTTCTATTAATATTTCGTTATTTTTAATTTAGACAATTTATTTGGTATAAGTTGTGATTTAGATTTATTATAATACCTATTTATATATTATGGTTGTAACTAAATATGGCTTTTGACTTTTGACCGCAACCGAATATCAGTGTTTTGCTCTTTTGAGGGCAAAGCAATAAACTGAGTGACTGATCATTTTGTGTTACTGTGGCACACGCACAAAAAAATATATGACCTTTTTTATATATTTTCCTTTTTTTGTATTCTTTTATTTCTTTTTTCAGTATGTACCAATATCTGATGTTATTTAAGTGCTGTAAATGATGCAAATAATTTACATATCTGTCTGTTTATTTATATTATTATTGTATGTAATTATGGATATATATTAATTATATATAACACCTAATTTTTAAATTACAGATACCTATACTCATACGTACTCATAATTAAAACTGTTAATAAATAACATCTTGGGTTACTAACTAAGCCCCCTAACAGGTTGTCACAAATCAAATCAAATTATAAATATAATTGTGAGAGACTGGTGCCTGAGATAGGTATAGGAATACCTGTATTACAGATCACCAGGGCCTCACTCCGCAGGGTTACTTACTAAGTACTTGTAATATATTAAGTGAATTCAATATAATAAATATAATTTATAGGAAGACATAAATAATTATATAACAAATGAGTTTAGTAATACAACGATACTACACAAGACGCGAGTAAACTTTAACCGCCTTATATACAAAGGTCAAACCTCTCATAAACCTATTTCGGCTATTGAAATGTTTTGTCCTTTTCTATTGTGCTAAATCCTTAATTTGAAAGAAAGTGACAAAACAGTTCAATAGCTAAATAATATATTTGACGATTTTATGAATAAGGGGTTAAATTTACACAACAACTTATAATTTTGTTTTACATAGTTTTAAAATGTAATTGCATGATTTTATTATACGTGATCTAAATTAATAGCTGGAAGATTATGTACCGGCTATTATCAGAAATAAAAGATATTTTTAATCTTGAATACGTGTGTTTAATACGTGTTCCCTCGGCAAAAATTAAAGCAGGAATGAATGACAGCCAGTCTATTCATTACTGCCCTCTCCAACAATTATAAATACAAAAAGATATGTAACGGATACATGATCGAATCAATTGCAATACTTAAATTAAAAATTAAAACAATTGACATTCCAATAATCTAACTAGCATTCACGTGACAATATTTTATTAACATCGTACTATAAAATATTGTATTGTATTTATTAAATAAATATACTAACAATTTAATAATTGAATTATAACAACGTCAACAACAATCAATTGACTATTAAACAATCTATTTATAGTATTAATTAATAACGTAATGTATTTGTATAAAATATAATCATATAGTTTAACAAAATTAATATATTATACGTGATATAAACAAAAAGTTAAAAGAAACATTAAAATAAAATTTAATACTGGCCTGTTAGAATGCCGGTAATACTCTTTCTCTTCAAGGAAAGACTCCTTGGAAATAAATAGTTAATATATATAATTATAAATTCGAATCCAATTAATAAATTATGTAAAATAGATAAACACTTACTTTATTTGTGTATCTTGATGGAATTACGGTATTACGAACATATCCCAAACTTCAACAATTATTCTAAGTGCATTGTTGTTAATTTTTTAAATAACTAGAATCAGTGTTGTATATTAGTTGTAGAGGAACACTCTACAGGCACAGTGCTGGTGTGATGCAGTGGACACCATCGGTTTCTGACTGGATGCTGTGCCAAAACTTTCGCAGAACGAGAGTAAAATTCTAATAGGTGGCACACTGGGAGCTTTCTTATAATGATAATAACTTTTATTTCAAACTACAATATGATGCATTTTGTTAGTAACAGTTTCCTTACAAAGTATGTTAGTAAAAAGTGAACAGTTAACTAAAGAAATTCACTGAGATGAGACCCAGCCATCTAGATCAGCATTTGAATGAAATGCTTACTTATAGGTGAGTTATACTCGCCTATTACTTTCACAATGCTGTTGGTGCTTGTCCTAACTCTGTATAGCAATGATGTAGTCCAATTTTTATGGTGTATATGTTTTTTTTATAATATTTAAGATGGCAACGTTTTACACTCGGTTCTCCAAATTCAAATTCAAATTCAAATTCAAAAATCATTTATTCATGTAGGACATTTTAGCCGCTTATGAACGTCAAATTTTTACATTATAATTTTATATTTTCCCTACCGTCCAGTTCGGTATATAGATCCAATTGAGAAGAACTGGCAAGAAACTCAATTGAATTACTTTTTTTTTTAAAGCCAGTTTATTTACAATGTATATTTATATAGGTGTCTATGTCTAACATTAAATGAAAATTCAGTGCATGAACAACTATTGCCATGCACACTCGTCATTCAAGTAATCGTTTAGTGAGTAATAGGCTTTGCTCAGTAAATATGATTTAACAGATCAGATGTTTTGAATTTATTTAAGGGTAATTCCAACATATCCTTTGGTATCTTATTGTAAATTTTTATACCTATTCCCATAAAAGACCTATTAACTTTTTCTAAACGATACTTGGGGACAGCAAGTTTGTCTTTAAATCTAGTATTAATATTATGAATATTGCTGTTTTTTGGAAATAAGTCAAGATTTTTATGAACATATAGAATATTTGAATATATAAATTGAGAAGCAACGGTGAGAATATTTGCCTCTTTGAATTTCTCTCTTAATGAGTCACGACTCTTCATACAGTAGATCGCTCGAACGGCACGTTTTTGTAATATGAATATATTCTTAATATCTGCCGCTTTTCCCCATAGTAATATTCCATAAGAGAGTAAACTATGAAAATAACTAAAATAGACTAATCTAGCAGTATCAGTATCAGTGTACTGTCTAACTTTACGCACGGCAAAAGCTGCTGAACTTAGTTTCGCTGCAAGGCTTTGAATTTGTGCACCCCATTGTGTTTTATTATCTAGTGTGATTCCTAGAAAGACAGTAGATTCTATAAATTCGAGAGATTCGTCATTTAATTTAATATTGCAATTAATATTAAAACTTTTAGATAGAGAGAAATTAACACATTTTGTTTTTTTAGCGTTTAACATAAGATTGTTAGTTGTAAACCAGTGCAGGAGACGCCGCAAAGCACTATTTACATCGTCATAATTATTAGTCATTCTATTAACTTTAAAAATCAATGAAGTATCATCTGCAAACAATACTATGCCGCATCTATCCTGCATGGCATATGGGAGATCATTAATGTAAACTAGGAATAAAAATGGACCGAGAATAGATCCTTGAGGTACACCCATTTGCACAAGTGACCCGTCAGACGTAGCGTTGCTAATCTTCACTTTCTGTATTCTATCAGATAGATAAGATTTTATTAAATTTAAAGCATTGTCTTTGACGCCATAAAAAGCAAGTTTTTTTAGCAATGTATTATGATCAACGCAATCAAAAGCCTTAGAAAGGTCACAAAAAACACCTATCACATCCATTTTAGTTTCCCATGCAGCAAATACGTGTCTAAGCAACTCTGCACCTGCGTCTGTAGTTGAACGACCTTTGGAAAAACCGAATTGACTATTGTGGATTAAATTATTTAAATTGAAATAACTGACAAGTTGCATAAGGATTATTTTTTCAAAAATTTTACTGAGTGCTGGGAGTATGGATATAGGTCTATAATTTATTGGGTCACTCCTATCTCCAGATTTAAAAAGCGGTATGATTTTACTAATTTTCATTATGTTAGGAAATTTACCTTCATCTATACATTTATTGAAAATAAAAGCAAGAGAGGGCGCAATAATTTCCATTATACTATCCAGTATTTTAACAGATATACCCCATAGATCCTCTGTTTTTTTATTATTAAGTTGTTTGAATATTTTCATTATTTCTACTGATGATGTATGTCTAAAGTTAAATACAGCTGATGACTTGCTAACATTGTCTGTTAGTAAAGTTTCAGCAGCAGACGGGGAAGATTTTAGAGCCTGTGTCGTAATTAATGGAATATTAGTAAAATAAGATTCGAATGTATGCGCGACCTCTGTGTCGGAATTTACCAATTTGTTATTAATATTTAAAGCTATTTTGCTATTTTGAAAATTAACTTTTCCAGTTTCGCTATTTATTACTTTCCAAGTGGCTTTTATTTTATCTTTAGATTTAGTTATTATTTTACCTAAATAGAGAGACTTAGCTGTATGACAAACCTTTTTAAATATTTTCGAATAAGATTTTACATGTTCATGAAATAAGGGATCGGATATATAGCTTCGTTTTTCGTAAAGTTCGTAAAGATTAGCCCTAGACTTATAAATACCAAACGTGGCCCAGTCACAAAACTTTGATTTTACACTAGTTGAAAATGTTTTTGTTTTAAATTCACTGCTAGCTTCATGTTCAATTAAATTAAAAATATGTTCACATACAATGTCCGGGTCATATTGAGGTACTATGACACTAGATATTTTATGTTCAATTTTATTTTTAAAACGTGCCAAATTCTTTTGTGTTATTTGTCTGCATGTAATTGTTTGAGTCCCTTTAGATCCCTTAGTTTCAATTATAACTTTTTGTCCGTAATGATCAGATCCAAGACAGTCGAAATTCATTTTCACCTTTACTTCACAATTACAAAAAACATTATCTATACAAGTGGCAGAATTTCCTGCGACCCTAGTGGGTTCTAAAAAAAGATTGTGCAAATTAAATGATTTAAATAAGTTAATCAATCTTAAGCTTATTGAGCATTCCGATAATAAATCAACATTAAAATCGCCACATACAAATAATGTTTTATTCCTCCGTGCGACTCGTCTCAATGCTTCCTCCATAGCCAGTTCAAAAGAATCAAAACAAGCCGATGGCGGACGATAAACGCAAATTATTATACAAGTAACTAATTCTACGCAAGATAGTTCAATTGTTTGCTCAATAGAAATATTTACAATGTCTTGACGGTTTTTATATTCTACATCATTTTTTAAAATAATAATTGACCCGCCATGAATGGCATTGTTCCTAGCAAAAAAACTAGCTATATTATAATGTTCAAAAGGACAAATTATTTCATATTGTTTAAGCCAATGTTCTGTCAGACATAACACCCGTACATTGTTAGATTCTAAGAAAAGACTTAATTCTAATTCTTTGCTGGAGAAGCCACGAATATTTTGATGAATAATGACCATATCCTGTGGCTTAACCAATGTCGTAGATGTTAGTTTAAATTAACACATGTCACATTATTAGTATAATTACTAATATTACTAATTAAACCCGTTATACTACTTATAATGGGATCATAAATGTTATACGCTAGTAAACTAGCAATAGTCTTTTTTTGTTTTTTAGGAAGATAAAAATTACCTCCCGTCATATAATAATTTGTAACAAATTTGTTACTTTCAAAATAAAATATATCATTACAATGATATGTCATCGAATAAATTAAATTATTTATACTATAAATGAACTTATTCTGTTCATTAGTCAGGGATTGAGAGTAGGGAAATGCGCATAATAATATTTTACCTATACCAAGCTCCACTATATTATATAATGATTTTATTAAATTAACTATATCAGATTTACGCATATGCAAACAATTCCCTAACGCTATTACTAGGGTCGTGTGAATATCATATTTTTCATTTACTATATTTTTTATAATCTTATATATACCTGATCCCGGAAAACAATTATTTATTACTTGTTGCGAGAGGCAGTTCGATAATAAACTACCTAAATCCTTGCCAAATTCATCTGAATAAACAATTGTTCTCCTGATGGTTTCATGTACAGTGCTGCATTTATTTACTTTTGTACTGTTTCGTGTGGGTAAACATGAAACGTCTGGTTCCGTGACGGATGAGATATCAATGTTCAACTGATTATGGTGGGACGGTTGGATATAGTTATCAGACTCTGGTGAATTACAGTGACATCTATCCGTAAGAGAAACAAACCGCTCCATGTTGTAGTTACCTAATTTTATTAAATTATCCAACTGATCAGAATATTCATGTATTTCATTCTTAGCTGATTCGTATTTCAAAGATAAATTGGACAACGAGTTCTCTAATAGTTTAATTTTTTGTGATAATTCATCTATTTCTAAATCTTTGTTATATATTTTTTCTTTACAATTATTTAATTCTATTGATAAGTCAATTTTTTGCTTCCTAGTAATAATTGATTTTAAACACTTTTTATGACTTTTCACTAAATTTTCTGATTTTCGAATAAATTTATTTAATTTTACATATTTTTTTAACTTCTTACTACTATTAATAGGTACTTTATTAGGACTATAGGAGCTTGGTGTATTTGTCAAATCTATGGTCACAAGGGGCAGAGCAGATGTTTGATCACTAGTAGTATTTAACATTTCTGTATACAGATCCATGGTCTCGTTATAACTACTCAACCGCCTGTGATCCAACAAAGATTTATTTTGTGATTGAACTTCCTCAAGGTGCCGCTCTAGATGAGTGATTTTCTGCAATGCTGACTCATATGTGTCTCTGCACAGATCATATTTATTTACAATTTCTTGAAGTTTTTCTTTTTCGATATGTAGAACTTCAAAGTCTGTACTGATCTTCACTAGGTCATTCTTCAGAGCCACATATTTATCAGACATCAACTTAATTTCAAACTCACTTTCATCTCGTTCCTGTAATAAGGCCTTATTTAATTCATTGGATTTTTTTAACTCTAA